GAGAGGTTTCAGGTTACTGAACGATGCTAATATTTTTTACCAACTTTGGTAGCTGTTTACTGTCTTTGCCAAAGTATTGAAATACCTTAGTGAAATCACATAATCTTATACTGTTCAACATTGAAGTGTTTGTATACAGAATCCCTAATTCTGTTATGAACTGCATTTTCTCTGCAGTAGGTCTTTAATAGTGGTATACCAAGACATTAGGAAGATGATGTGCCCAAGAATTGAGGAAATAATTGTGTAACTTAAATGTGGACATGATATAACTGCCAAGTAACAATGCAAATACAATGACATCTTCTACTTAATGAGTGTTTGTCTAATTTCAAAATGTTTCTTAAAAGGAACTGAAACTTGATAGGTCTGTAAAAGGTAGCTCACTTGACAATCTCTAAAGGAAAGCACCCTCAATGACAGAATAAACTTCATAGTTAAATCCTACTCATTGTTTTCAGTACCAAACGTCATAAGACTTCAATTCCAGCGTTTTGGATAAAATGTGATGTGCTTAGATTTCATGTTTTTCGCTTTAGCTATCCATTGTACCATTAGTCGTGTCATTAGTATTATCGCTTTGCTTTTGATCTGGAAAGGATTTGGCTGTTTTAAGGTTATGATTATGTTGTTTTTGTTTTTTTCTTTTTTAAACAGTAACATAATGCTTATTAGATTTTTCTGATCAGCTGTCTTCTGTTCTTCCAGTAATTTGGGCTATTTGTGTTTACAGGCATGAAGCCACACACTTAAGTGATGCCATTTAAACCTTTTATATAACATTAGAACTTGTGTATTGCTTTACAGTTCAGCATGGTAGAATTTAATAAACTTCATAGTGAATATGGCTTATGACAACTTTTAGGGCTGTTAAGCATTAAACAGTTCTGGTAACATATATATGGCTTTGTACGTTTCCTGCTTTCTGAGTATTAGTAAATCTAAAGCTGTCCAAGGTGCAACTGGAAGATTAAGTCTGTATTGCCCCTGGTGCTGCCCCTCCAAGTTAAATTAGGTCGAAGTTGGATCTTGTGTTCTGCCAGCAAGCTCCCAGTGGAGTATTCTAATGCCTTCCTAGAATTACAGCAATGCATTAGCCAGTGTTTTCAGATGCACTTAACTTTTGGGGTGGGAAGAAATTGACTTGATCTCAAAAGTGCCTGAGCCAAAATTTGGGGAAGCTTTAACATATTCTCCTGATTCTATAGACTTTGTATAAGTTTTGTATAAAATCCTGTTTCTTTCCTGTAATTACTTAAATTGTAGATGGTTTATCCATCCACACTTCTGTGTCTGAAGAATGCTGTGGATAGGTGAAGGAGGGAGAGAGAAAAGAGAAGGAAATTCAGAATTGTGATTCTCAAAACAGTACTGATGTGGCTAGCTGTGGTTACTTCTTGATGTGTAGTAACATGCATGTGGTGAGCAGTTCAGAGTTTGCAATCTGCTTCTGTTCAAGGTGGATGACAAATACCCGTGTGAACTGGAAGTCTTAGCTTCCCTGTTGGGGTATGGCACCTTGATGGTATCTCGGTTGCAGTACAGTAGCTAAAATGCCAGAACTCAATGTTTGAATGCAGTTTCTTTTCACTTCTTGCTGGAGCTTTTGGAGTGTGATTCAACCCTGTCAGTAGTTCTGTAGTAAAAGAATGTGCATGGCTGACACAAAGTGTTTTAAAGCTAGTGATTTGTGGTGTGTAACTCATGAACCAGGCATTGAAGATCATAATTTCAAGGTCTTCCTGTGATGATCCATCAACTAAAATGGCTCCTGAAGTACTCTGGTTGTTTGTGTGTTTTTTTTTTTTTTTCAGGTGTAAACAATGATTTAAGAGCTACATCAATCATACAGACAGCAAGCTTCGTAAATTCAGGTTTTCTGTGGGAGCAGTGTTCCTCCTATAAGTCTCTTCCTGTTTTGCCAGGGACTGAAAAGTTTGTAATTGCTTTCTAGATAAAGCTTATCAGGTGTTTGTTGTTGATGAGATACAGGTTTCTAGATGGGAAGGGTTTGTGGAATGTTGTCTTCTCTCCCTCTTTGTATTATGGGAAGAGCTTTTTGGACTTAAAGATTTGTTAAGCTGCAAAAGTAGGAATATAGCTATAGCAATTGGGAACACTTGTGCATGGCAGTTTTGTCTCTGCAGTCTCATGCTTGGTTGCCTTGTGTCAGTGTGCTCTTTTCCCTGACACAGTATGTAGTATGCTAATACCTTTTCTATTACTGTCTTGGGGAGGGTCATGGCAGTCTCATCTACTGCTTGACCGGATACTGAACATTAATTCACCAATTATAGAAGGCAGATGAAGATGCTTCAGTGTGCCAACTACACTAATAAAAGCTTGATTTGGGAAATGCCTTGAGAGTCCATATAATCTAGCCTTTTAGCTTCACAGTGCCCCTTATAAACTCTAGTAGAGGTTTGTCTAACAAGTTCTTAAAGATTTACAACATGAGACTTGATAGCTTTGCCAAGCAATCTAAAACATGTGTTTATCTTCTCTTTTGAAAGGTGTTCGTGATCTGTAATCTGAGTCTGTTTTCTGCTGAGGCCTATTTCTTCTACAGATGTGGAAAAAATGCCCTTCACTGAGAGCTTGATCCATCGGGGGGGGGGGGGGAAATCCTTACCTGTTTTATGCTGTTTCTCCAGCATAAACACCACCACTGCATTTCTTGTTCTGGATCTCGCTTCCAGGGCATTCTTGCCTTTCTCACTTTGGATTCTATTCCAGTTAGTTAATCTCTTCTGAAGTGTAGTGCCCCAAAAAGGCTGTAGGACTCCAAAATAAGTCTTGCCATGGCAGACTATTTTGCAGGCTGCACATCCATACAGCCCTGCTCGGTGCTTGACTTACTAGATATATTAATTTGTCACTGATTCATATTTGTACTGTAAGCTACAGTCACTTAAGATCTTACTTGGAATTGTGGCATAGCCATCTGTTCAGCAGGCAGGCTTTTTTGTTGTTAACTAGTCCTGTTTATTAAGGTCTGTCTTAGCCCTGGTGTTCCATGGATCAGTGATGATACCTGTGTCCCTGCAGCAGACCTACCACTGGGCTTGTGTTGCTTTCTCTCCTTCCCCTACCACTGCCTGACGGAGCTGACAGCTTGAATATGGAATGCAGCTGCCTACCAGGAAATGTTTATAGCAATCATCAACTGTGGAATTACTGATGATAATCCTCTTCACCCAGGTGCTGTGGTAGGACAGATCTTGTGCAAAGCTGTACTTTTTCTAGGTTTGAAGTCTCATAATTACTGAATTTGCCTAGTCTCTTGAATGTGTCAGTGAGCAAACATTTTCTTTCCCTTTGTTAGTAAACTTCAGATCTGGGCTCTAAAGAACACTATTTAGAGACTGCTGAATTAGTATTTTTTCATAGAAGCTCTTAGTCTTATTGTAGGTTTTGAAAACAGATGACTCGTTTTATCTGGAACTGCTGGAGACAGTTGTCTGCCACTGCTAAACTTCAGTGGTTCAGGATGAGGTTGTCCAGGCTGTAAGTAACTGGTGATAACTTTATAGTGGAAATTGCTTGCAGTTTTAGCTGGTCGTGTTTATGCTTAATGCTCTAAGGGAGCTCTCCTTGTGCCTAATTATAAGGAGGGACCAGACTGTAGATCAGTTAACAGACTATAGATCAGTTAACACCATAGCTGAAACTCAAAGGCTATCTAAAAATCGGTATGTTTTTCCACTCTTAAACGGCCATACAATGGTCTCATGCCTCTTCCATTATCTAGAGGAAGACATTTTTTCAGTACCAGTGCAGCATTAGGTAGTAAGATTGTATATTTGCTATGGAAGAAGCATAAGCAGCTCCCACTGAGTAAATAATATGCTAGGTGTAATTCTACATTTAAGAAAACAGGGGAGTACTGATTGTGTAAGGGTGGCTTGCTCAAATGAAAATTCTGCTGCTGTTCTTCACCCTTTCCTAGGGCGTATAGCTGGAATACCATGAGGAAATATTGCAACTTCTGTTGATTCCAAAGGGAAGCTGGATGAGGGGGAAAGACCTAGAACAGACTAGTTAGTTAAGCACTTGTAAGCCTGCTAGCCTCAATTATTATGAATAAAATAATTCTGAAGTTATTCCAGAAGGGACCTATTAATTCCTTGTGTCTAGGGTGTTTCATACTTTTTTTTATAGAGAATTAGAATTGAGGAAGCAAGCAGTTGAGCATCTAGTGCCTCTAGAGATTATCTTTTCCCTGTGACAAACCTAGCACTACCTTTTCCAGTGCCTACAGGCTGGATTTTCTGTCTCCCGTCACTTTTGTTTACTGTTTTGCCAAATGTTATGCATCAGCCTAACCTCAGATCATAGAGACTTTTTCCATGGTGGTAGAGGTGACCACAAATGATGCATTTAACAGTGACTTTTTAATTATGACATGGGTATTCATATCTTCTTGGTGTACCTCTTTACTATAACTTTCCCTGGAAAGTTGAGGATTGCTTTACACAGGGATTCCTGTTACACTATCTGGGTGTCTCATTGATGTGTATCAGTCAGTAATCCTTACACGTGTGAGTTTTAAGACTTAGATGAGCATCCTGCAAAAGTGTCAATGTCCTGTGATGCAGTAGAAGCTGCTGTAAAGAAGCTGTTAATTCATGTCTCTTGGCTTGTTTTAGATCTTAGCAGTGCAAGTTAGCTTGAATAATGAATATCTTAACTTCTTTCCTCATCTCCAAAGTTTTGTCCAAACCTATCATGTGTCGTTAGACTCTAAAATGTGGAAGGACTAAGGAGACATTGAGGATAATTATGTAATTGGAAATGTGTATTCATGGCAAATAAAATTTCTGAGTAACTATAGTTACCTTCTTAATAGTTAAGCATGCCATTGACTGCTTACATCAAGACTTGAAACTGCTTTTTCCTTGTAGACAAGGGGAATAAAACTGCCCCCTAGGTATTCTCAAATACTATGTTTCAACAGATACCACATATGATACCTTAACCATTCTCCGTATGTATTTTAGAAAATCTCCTTGGAATATCTGAAGTCCATATGGCTATGTATGATGAAGATATCTTGAAAAATCCCTTTTATTTGGCCATTCAGAAGCGTCGTCCTGATCTATGCAGCAAAGTGGCAGAACTCCATGGTATTGTAAGTATAAATAAGTAGATTTAAAACCTGCTTATTAAATAGTAGTTATAGGAATTTGAATCATATGCTTGCTATGACACAAAGATTAGTGCAAGCATACAAAACTTGGAAGTGAAGCAGAGCAACTTTTAGTTCAAGTTGCTTGTTACTAATATGGGCCTCCTGATATAATGCATGGTAGTAAAAGGTCAAAGTTGGTGTTTCTAAACTTTCCAGGAAGTTTATTTTCCTTGCTGTGAGCTGAAGTTACATATTCTCACACTTGCTTATAACTTAAAATGGGATTAATCTTTTGAAATCCCCGGTGGACAGACAATCACTCATTTCTGACAGTATTTTATGTGGCTAAATAAAGCCATTAAACTGAGCTGGAATAAAAACTCCAGTCCTTAAGTCTTCTCATCTGGTTATTCTGCAACTAGTCTTCATCCAAACTTCAGTATGTGGAGACTGTATTAAATTCAGAGGTTATTGTTACTCAATTATAAAATTAAGCTTTAAATTGGATGGGATTCTTTCAGTTGTGTTTTACTTCTGATCAGCTGAAATGCTAACATCTGTTTACCAGTTTTGTCTGTATTCTAACATCATTTCTCAAAGCTTCTGAGTACTGAAAGAGGCACTTGCTTCATGCTTGTCATCTTTAACAATGAGATTTATTTCTTCTCAGTGCGTATACAGTGTTGTAATCACAGTGTGCTGCTTTCTAATTAAGAATTTGTTTCGAACAATCTGTTGGTGTGTAGCAGACCCAAGATGCTTCTTATCTTAGACTTTTTTTCTTCTTTCTGATATATTTTCATTTTAGTTTGAAAATATACTTCACTTTTATTAGCTGCCTAATTTTAAGTCATTCAGGTGACTGGTGTTAAGTAAATTAAGATTTTATCTCCTTCTTAGTATTGTTTGCTTTGATTACATCTGTTGTCCTATTTCAGATAAATCACTAAATTAAATTTCTAGGTTAATCACTAGACTGTGTTTATCAGTGGCCTTTCCTTTCTATTTATTTAAACAAAAACTCCTGTAGTTACTATACATTTTGCTAGTAAATATTTATAAGACAGATTCAATTGCATGCCTCTAAAGGGCAGAAGCTGTGTGTTTAGCTGGTGATACATGGCACTTCTCACTAAAGCATGATCTCACTTTTAGGTGTTAGTTCCATGCAAAGGAAGCCTTTCAAGCAACAGTCTTTCTGCCTGCCAGTTTGAATCTTATGTTTTGAAGCCGTTAGAAGAAAACTTTCAGACCTTAAATGGAAAGGTATTTCTGCTTTGCTTCAATAAATGATTCACTGCAGTTGATGACTGATAGTGTGATCTAGTGGTTACAGGAGGGGTAACTAGGAGTTAGAGTTTAACTGGCAAGAGTACTATGTTGCTCATCTGAGCCAAAGTCCTCAGGGATATGCTGCTTTCTAGCAAAAGCTGTATTTTGGCATGTACACAAGAATAATTGTCCTGTTCAGATGGTAATGTTGCCTCTGATTTCAGCTTACTACTTCAGCAAAGTAACTTTGTCAATTTACCTGTGTTTTGTGGCTGTAAGGAATTTTGTTGTGTGGCTGAAGGGCCTTTATCACTTCGAGAACTTTCTCTAGTTTTTGGACAAATGGTAGCCTGCCTACGTTATATGCAGGTGCAAGTTCACCAAGGCTTAAGACAAAATTACGGTGGCACTGAGTTGTATCTGAGGCTGGATGTACTAATTCAGTTCAGTAAGTAGAGTAGAAACTAATGTAGCAGTAAGCCATGATAACCGATGCTGATACTGTAGGATCACTTTTTTCCACTTGTAATTTTACAGTACAGTCTGAGATCTTAGACCTGTTTGCAGGCAATCATCCAGATCTTCCTACTGCAGTTGATTGAGAAGATAAAGTTTAGTGTGAGAAATGCAGACAAGATGTGTGGTGTTTCTCTAAAGCTGGACTTGGGCCCCAATTCAAAGTTGTTTTTCAATTTCCCTTCTTCTAAGAGTTCTAAAATAGTCACTTGGACCTTAGAGATTGTCAGAAATGTCTAATAGTAGATTTGTAAAGACAGTAAGTATGAGCAAGGTTTAGCTAGCCATTGTAGACTGATGGAGTTGTTTCTGTGGCTACACAGCATGAGAATATGGAATCTCTTGAATCTGGGGCTTTCTTGTCTTGCAAGACCCTCTCCCTGCAAATGTAACCATGCCATGCAGAAGATAAAGAGTAATTTTCTTATGGCAGAGTTTTACACTTGTTCTGGGTTTTGCTTTGTTTCAGGAGATCTTCATACAAGGAAATCTCATCATTTTAGGAACTGGTTTTAATTGTCATCTCTCAGTACCTGTTCTTTTTGAGGAAACATTTTACAACGAAAAAGAAGAAAGCTTTAGTATATTGTGCATAGCTCATCCATTGGAAAAAACAGGAAGCTCAAGTATGTATTGAAGTGTTAACTTGGTGGTCTTGTTTGCACAGTGAGCAAGTTAATGTTTCGATATGCTTAATTTCCTTTATTCTGAAAAGCACTGGCTTGGTTGAAAGTTCTTGGCATTTATTACCCTGCTGGGGAGGATGTTGGTATGCTGCTGGAGAAAAATATTAAGTTGCTGCTGGGCAAACTTAATTCTGTTGGGTCTATGCCCCAGTCTTAGCACTGAAAATCATCTGTGGAATACGTGATCCAGCATGATTTTTTGAGCAATGCTCAGTTTGGTGCTGACTGCTTAAAGGGTTTTAGTCTGAAATGTGACAAATGCCTTGAGATGCAATGTGGATGCACAGAAAACAGGAGAGGTAAATTCTTTCATGATCATTTCATCAGTGGGTAGAGGTTGTATAGCATAGCTATGTAGCAGCTTTTCTGGTAGTGGTCTGTCTCATTAAGTTGGACGTGCTTAATTTTTGTCCTAGTACTGAAAGTGCTCTTGGTAAGGCTGGAACGCTATTTCTAAGGCTACTGCTAAAGCTTTGAATCTAACAAGATTTTATTGTGAATTTGCATAACAATCTGTGTTTACTAATTAAAAGGAACAAAAGCTTCTTAAAACGTATGCCTTTTTTCTGAAATAAAAGCATCTAGTCTTAAATACGTATCTACTTGAAACAAATAATGAAAAAGAGAGGTAATACTAATGTAGTATGAAAATAGTACTGTGAGGGAAGTATGGAAGTTCTGAAAAAGAAAGCTGGCATACATGATGTTCCCTTTTTTTGGCAATTATTTAATGTAGTTGTGTATCAGTCTTTCAGAAGTGAGATGATTTGTAATTTCAGAAGTAACTTGAAATTAATGAAATCTAAGCCTGTTATTAGTTGACTGCTTTTGGTTCCAAATGAAAGACTTGCCTAGAAAAAAATTTTGGAAAAGCACTGAGGGATCTAATTGTCTTAGAAGGAAAGTGGAGCTGGTTTAATGTCTACATGAAGCACCTTTGCTCTCCCATTCAGAGGAGGCATGTCTAAATAAAGAATAGGTTATGTAAAAGTCCAGTATGGGATTTTTACAGCACACTGTCTTCCTGCATGGGCATTCAGTCAATACTGTAATGTCCTTTTCTACTTTCAGGCTTGACTTCCACTCAGCTTGAATTGTGTATGTGGCAATAAATTACCCCAGGCTAAAAAAGCATGTGGAATCACTTTTAGCTATTCCAAATAAATATTTGACATAAAAGGCAAGAGAGCCTAATCTAAATGTGATGCATGAAATTCTTTTCATTAAAAGCAATACCTTCAGTTAAAGGTATAATAAGCTGAATCAATGTTTTGTTGCACACAACTTGGCTGTGTAATGTAGGGACAGAAAGTACTTTACCATGCATACATATTATTCCTATGAATTAATTCTTGGCTTTCATTTTAGGTGAATCTACAGCTTCATCAAACTCCTATTCTCTGAAAAATATTGAAGATGTTAGAGAATTCTTGGGAAGGCACTGTGAGAGATTTGATAAATACATAGGAACTTTCTATAGAACATTTAAAGAACACGAAAGGAAAAGCCTCCGCCACTACATAGTCAGTATCTGGGTTCTTGGTGTTTAACTTAATCATTTTGCTGCTTTGGGTATCTTTGTCTTAATGAGCTTGTCTTTGTCAGGGTAGTCTAGAGTTGAGGAAGGTGGGAAGGGAGAGGATACTGTTTTCAATTGTGAATTAGCATGTCTTAACTAGAAAAAGTGCCTTTACCTAATAGTTAAGTGTGCACTATGGTAAAATTTTTAAGGCATGGAAGACTTACTTTCTTTGCTTATGTTTTTTTGCTTCAGGTCAGATTAACCCAAATCTGATTGCTTTCTTTTTTTTTTCTCCCTTACCCAGGATTCTGTCAATGCACTTTATACCAAATGTCTCCAGCATCTTTTGAGAGATTCGCACTTGGTAAACACTTACTGCACTAAATACATAGTGTTACTTAAGCAATAAATTATCTAACTTTCTCTTGCTGTTTGTATGGCTTTCCTTTTCCAGAAGATGCTTGCAAAGCAAGAAGAGCAGATGAATCTGATAAAACAAGCAGTTGAAGTAAGCATCTAAAATAAAGGAAAATAATTAGCAAGCTATTTTTCATTCTCCCTTTCATGCCTGAAGTACTGTTTTTTTTCTACAGATGTATATCCATCATGCTCTTTATGATCTAGTCTTTAAATATATGGGGACTATTGAAGCGAGTGAGGTAAGTTTGTTTGGTAAAGATTAGTTACATTCATCTAATGCATTTTACAAAACTGTTGCTTTTCTATTGATTAGGATGCTGCTTTTAACAAAATTACGAGGAGCCTTCAAGACCTGCAGCAAAAAGACATTGGAGTGAAGCCTGAGTTCAGGTGAGAGAGGTTATTGTGGACTCTTTGAGGAGTCCCTAAGATTCTGTCTTAAATAGGTCTCATGCCAGCTGAAAAGTGTGTGTCTTCAGACAATAATAAGTTTTTCTTACACTACATTCCTTTAAGATGGAGAAGTAAAGCTTTGCAAGTGTCATTTTAGGGCAGTCTTTGCAATGATGGTTATATCCTTTTGCTTTTATATTCTTATGCTTTCCCCTTTATCTACAAGGTACAGAAATGCAAGTGTACTTGGAGCAGAGATGGAAATACTTTAATACTGTTCTTCATTTCAGCTCTGGATAAGTTAAAACTTGGGGTTTGGACATCCTGCACAGGAACTATTTTGCTAACTGTTTATTTCCAATTATTTTGTAGTTTTAATATACCACGTGCAAAGCGAGAACTGGGTCAGTTGAACAAATGTACTTCCCCTCAACAGAAGCTACTTTGTCTACGAAAAGTGGTACAAATTATTATGCAATCTCCTAGCCAAAGAGGTCAGTAATTAGTGAAGTAATAACTGAATTTTAAGCTTTTTTCTTAACCAGTACACACAAAGCCATTTGGTATATAAACAGCTGTTTGAGTGTGCTAGGACACTTTCTCATGCAGAAGAATTGAAAGTGATCCATTTTAAACACTGAGGATTGCTGCTAGATCATTCTTGTCTCTTTGTCCATGCTCCTTGATAATCTTGGAAATTGATACTCTTGAGATGCATCTTTTGCAAAATTGAGTGTTGATGGGGGACGAACAAACCTGCTATATGCTGCATTCATAATGCTACCATGGATTACAGAAATGATTCTGTGATAGGAAAGCATGGACCTCTTAACCTGGTATTTATTTTGTGTAGCCTGGAGAGAAAAAATATTTTGACTAAGCAAATGGAGTAGTACAGTGACCTTACATTTACCCTACTTCATCTCTTACTTTTTCCAGGAAGACTCCTGGGTTATGAGAAAGTGTATCAACTTTGAGGGTAGCTTTTTTTCCTCCAGAATTTCAGTCTTGGGCTAGTGCTCTGGCTCTTTCTGTATAGGAGGGAGGGGATGCTAGTCTAATATTGCAATTTGTACAGTACAAACTGTATGTGTGTGTTTGGCTTCTGGTAGCCTATTTTAGAGGGAGATTGAGAATATTTAAAGGGCTGCAGTGGTTACTCAATGCAATCCCTACTAGTAGAGCTTGACCCATAGTTTTAGGAGGTGGAACTATAGATACTGCTCTTGATTTGAGCGATGACATGACTAATGTCAGATGTAAATTCTTTTTTCAGTTAACATGGAAACCATGTGTGCAGATGATCTACTCTCCGTTTTGCTCTATTTACTTGTAAAAACAGAAATCCCAAACTGGTATGTAACTATATTTTGGCTATACAGAGCTCCATAATATCTTATATGTAATGCTGTTGTAGGGACAAATGTTTCTGAACATGTAGTAATAACTTAGTGAAAGTATAAGAGGGGCTGATGTAATGTAGGAAACTATTTTTAGTAAGAAATAGCAAAGATGTATTACTGGTTTGACTGAATTAAGGACCTATCAGGGCTTCAAGTACTCTGTCTTTGTTTTGATTCCCAGCCTAGAAAAGAGTTGTAATGGGAGGCCATCTCTTTACCAAATCTGCATGGCAATACAGACTTCACAGATCAGTCCTTCCTCATCTATGTTTGCAGCTGTGAAACCTTTATGCGGCTTCTAGATGCTTAATACATTTCATATAGAGAAACTAGACTTGAATGCTTAATTGCTTGCTGCTAGCCTATGCCATTGTGCTTATCTAAACCTTCCACCTGTACCTGAACTGAATTTTAGTGTTGGTGTATCCCATATCTGAGGTTAATATTTTTCCTTTAATTTGTAACTATCACTTTACACTGGTGCCTATGATGCTTGGAACATTAACATGTTTGAAACGTATGAAACACTTTCCTGCTGCTGTTCATACCCTATTCTTCATTTGTTTTAGCTGTTCCATGAAAGGCTATTAATTGGATATGAGATAAGTAGACTTATGATCCATCTACAAACAGAACAGCCATAGTGCTGCTAGCCTTAATATTTCTAGAAGCTTTTTCTTAACCCACACCTGTTGTCTGCCTGGGTTGCTTAGGATGAGTTGCAGTATTAAGATATGTCATGCTAGTGTCTTATTTTTAGTGGTTCATAGCTTTAACTTTTTATTGCAGGATGGCCAACTTGAGTTACATAAAGAACTTCAGGCTTTGCAGTTCAGTGAAGGATGAATTGGGATACTGTCTAACCTCAATTGAGGCTGCAATAGAATACATACGACAAGGCAATCTCTCTGACAGATCAACAGTAAGCTGCTCTTAAAGTCTGTCAAATGTGTATTTGATAAGCTTGTAGGACTGTGTACCACTGTGGGAGTAAATCCAGGTGGAGGGTACAAAGAGCTAACATAACAGCTAAGAGTTCCTTTTTTGCGCTTAAAGAAATTGAGGTAACTATACTTGAAGCAGATGCTAAAATGATCTAAATTACTACAATGAAGTCCTAATCTTATAGGAGTACTTGTTCATTGTGTACTCTTTGAGGAAGTAGTTAAAAGGCAAGCCTACCTCTTCATATGATTAGAGGAAAAATGACAGCACTGTTCAACAGCAGAGTCTTCAGTAAACTTAGTATCTCCTGTTTATGTTCTTTCTGTCATGGTTGTGGAAGCAATGCATGCAGTACTTGAGAGTAGGCATAGCTTAAACAGATTTTTCTTTAATTTTAAAAAGCTTGGATATGGTGGCAGAATGGAGACTGCAGTGTGACTTAGAATTATTCAATGAATCTTCATACTCTAAATGTGTTTGCAGTGCAGATTACTATGTTGAACCAAGTTGATAGTTTAATCGGAGTGCAGGCATATAATATGGTGGTGTATAAAGGTCAAATTTGGCTCTCAGGATCTCTAACCTAGTGGGGACAAGAAGTTTGTGAATATCGGAGTTATTTCCCACTGGGCAACTAGACTTGTCAAGTCCCTGCAGGCCAGTTAAGGATGATATTGATGTGGCTTTAGAAACTTACATGATTTAAGAACTTTGTAGCTTATTTAGTAAAGGAATCTAATCTTACTGCTACTGTAAAACTTTCTACTGTTGCAAAATTAGGTTTTCCTGATCTGATGTGGAAATCAAAAGAAGTGAACTTGGAACCAGAATGAACTCAATGTGTCTCAGTCTGCCCAACTGCAAAGCACTGGAATCTAATTGCAGGGGCCAGAATAATGGCTCAGTGTGCAGGGCTTGGGATGGGAAAACCTGGGGCACAATCTTAAAGAAGCACTTAAAGAAACATTTTAGCTGGTTATTATTTTTGGTTTTGTTTTTTTTCTGGGATCTTTCCATGAACATGTCATGCATAGGTTTTTGTATACATAAAAAAAAAAATCAGAAGAATAAGCACCCTTTCATTTTGTATAAAGAAACTATGGTATTTCTTGTCTGTAATGCTGTACTGAATCATGTTTAAAAAAAATAAAAATGTTCGTTTAAAAGGAAAACATCCTGCCAGACAGTTTTGCTTCCTAGAGTCACTTGGCTATCATTAACAATCAATATACAAATTGATGCTGGTGGTCTGGATGGAGAACTGGAACCAAAGTAGAATTGTTTTCCACAACACTGTCAGCAAGTTGGAAAAAAGAATATACAGCTCTTAAATTTTTAGAATAAACACTGTTTTCTATTAAATGCCTGGTCCTATTCTTCCTTGTGCTAAGGATAGCAGGGTTTTTTGTACTAGAATTGCCCTTGAGTGATTATAACATAAGTGCCACTGCCCATAAGGTACTACATTTATTTCTGTCTTGAAAAGGAACTACATGCTTGATAAGTAGGAGACTGCCCTCGTTTAGACTACTTACAGTGGTGCAGATAATAATGTCAGAGCAAGCACTAAGTATTTCTGTCCATAACTCAGCTGGATCAGCTCCAGACCTAGAGTGGTAGCCTCTAAATTTCTCTTTTCCATGTGTGTACAGAGATGTGCAACAGGACCTCCTTTCTTCTACATTGCCATTCATACATGTTAACAGGGCTTGAAGGCAGCACCTTGAGATGAGCTGGAAAACCGCAGAACCTTGAAAGCAAGGAAGTGGGTGATCCCCTGTCCTCTAGCACAGCTGAAAAGGAAAGAGCTAGACCACCCTTTTTTCTAGTGTAGGGTAAGGGAGAAAGTGGCACACAATGCAGAAACTAGTTAGCAAATATCCCCTTGACAGGAATTGAAGAAGAGTAGTGAAGAAGTGGAGGAACACGGTAGGAACTTCTGATAGCATTGCCCTCCCTGCATGAATTTATCAGTTGACATACTTCCTTTTTTCTCTGGTAAAAGTGATCAACTTTCTCTTTAAAGCAGCAGTAACTGTCATGTTGATGCCTCATGGTTTCCTTTTCCAGATTGTGCTGGAACGGGCTGTGGGGTTAAAGTGAGTGGGAACATTGCTGTGCCCTGGGGTTTCATTACAGCCCCTCATGTGGCTACACTTAAATTTTATAGCTGGCTTCAGATGGAGCTTCTGGCAGCTGAGTAACACTGTTGTCCAATGCCTAAGGATGCTAACTACATAAGGAAAACTCAGCAGGGACTTAATGTACCCTGAGGGAGAATGAGCATATTATCACCCCCATGTCAGTAAGAAAATTGCACTTATGAGACACCTGCCAAATCCCTTTAGCCAAGGTCATGCAAGTCTTGAAGAGACATTTTGGTTGTGGGGAGGAGAGGAACATGTAACTGATGGCATGAAAGATTCCATTTAATTTTCTGGAAATTGTCAACCTTATTTGATTAGAATTCTAGTTAATAGGTATTAGACCTTAGTTATGTTCTTGTGCACAGCTAACATGTAGTAAGACCCTCTAATTCAGAGGGTTGAAGTAAGGTATAAAGTAGGGATTTAGAGCTCACTACAGAATAGTCAGCATTTTTCTTCTCATAGGGGAATAGCTGTAGGTAGTAATGAAGTTGGCATGGAAGAACTGGAGGTGGGAGAAGCTAGGAAAGGAAGACTTAAATGTGAACTGAGGCTAACAAAGTGTTTGGAACGGGGGGGAGTGGAGATAACTTCCCCAAGTCATTAGTTGTAATTTGTGAAAGTCACCTTGAAGGTCATCATATAGGTATACCCTCATAGGTACAAATAATTAATTTCTCCAGTATAGAGAATAGTATTAGATAAAAACATCATTAATGTTTGGATGTGTATTTTCTAGACAATATAGATTTAAAAATACCTGAGACACCTGCTCAAAACAATTTTTTTTTTATAATATTCCTGGTGTTCAGGTAAAACTGGTACAACTCAGTTTTATCTTTAAAGGCCCAACTTGCTTAATGCTTCAACCAGTACTTGATTCTTCTGCCATTCTGTATTTCACTTTTGAAGATAGGTAGTTGTACCTGGTATAGATTTTTTTTTTTTCTGATTTATATAATAAATAAAGACACCTCTATGTAAGGATTGCTGTTTCAAGTGACTCTGAAATAATTATTCCACTTGGGGAACTCTTCTCTTGTAAAATACACTATGGAAGGTGTTGGAGAATGGCTCAGAGACAAGGGTCGTGAGCCCACTGAGCAATTGTACGATCAGAGCCTGCTCTAGCTGCTGATGCTGGGCCTCACTAGAGTTTGCCTGCAGCTGCTCGCAGCTGCTGATATATGAGGAATGTCAAGGACGCTTCGACCTTGTGTACTGTGGTGTGTCAAAAACAGGTTAAGAGGAATTAGAAATAGTAGCATGAGAAACTTATTGTTACGAGAAGCTTGTGCTGCTAGCTAACTGCAAGTAGGTGGACCGTGTGAATACGACCTTTAGAGCTTAAGCCAATCAGCTAGTGACTAGTAGGCATAATAATTATCATTGTCTGTATAAATATATGTACCTGGACCAATAAAGTTAGTTGATGCTCTATCACCCACATTAAACCCGTCTCGGCGTGTCCCGCAAGAAGGAACATTACCAAACCTACAATAGGTCTTGCTAGTAATTGCTTAGATTCTCCATCGTGAAAGTATAAAGCTGTCTGTGAGCATTCATATTAGAAATTCTGATTAGGTTTCAGAAACTTGTATCAACAGTAAAGCTTTAACATTTTTTTTTTAGTTAATAAGAATTACTTGATCAAAAGTTTTATGGAATTTATTCCTTATCACAGTGAAGAATCTATCCAAGGAGACTGGTGTTTTGTGCCTTGTAATTCTGAAAATATATGCTCAGGGAACTTTAGCTATAGTACTTCAGTTTGAAACGATTGGTGAATATTTGTCATCTTCATGTATCTAAACACAACTTACTGTGAAGTACACATCCGAACTTTCATCTCTAGACCTCACAGTTGTGTTTTTAAATATATTATTTGCTATGCAATGGCGGTTTTTCTAGGCAGCTTTGAGAGGCATTTGTGTTGGTTTTGACGCTTGAGTGACTTAATTTCCAGAAAATTTACTGTTCATGTTGAAGTGATCTTGTTTATTTGCAGTTCACTAGTTTCTTTGCCTTCAGGCTGACTTAGTAGCGTTAAGAGCTGAGTCGGGCATTTTTTACTTATTTTTATCTGGTCTTTACAGACTTAATTGCAGCATCTGTAGCCTGGATCTTAAACTATCAAAGTTTATCTGAAACATGGGTGTCTATCTTAAATGTGGTGATCTTCAGTTTGATGGATGCTGGCAGTCCTTCCATTTCTAGAGAGATAATCATTAACCAAAAACAACATCCAGAGAAATGATACTTACTGCCAAACATAGGCAGAGTTGATCAGAATCAACTATGTGCAAGTGTTCGCATCTACTTTCTTAAAAAGTGTTTTCTTTAGGTTGTTGTTTTATTTCATGTGAGATTCAATGTTGCAATTTCAAAATCTGACTCTACTTAAGAATTTTCACCTGGTTTTGCAAGCATATATGTTCTTTTGTGCATCCTGAAGTGTATCTTCAGATTCCTCAGAAAATGGGAAGTACCGATGTGAGAGTTGCACTGTATGTCTGCTTATCTCAATCTCCAACTTTTAGGTGACAACTAGGAAACACTATATGAACGAGTGCTACAGCGTAATGTTTCACCTGGTACAATCTTTTATTTTCCAGCAAGTAGCAGAGAGTTAAGTGGAGCCTTTGAATCAGATTTGTATCTAGGTCATCTTTTTTAATAGCCACCAGTAGACATGTCTTACATGAATTTGTCTAATGCCTTTTTGAGTCCGTTTACACTGTTGATTTTTGCAACATCCTATGACAATGATTTCTACAATAAGAATATTTTTTCTTCTCTCACTTTTCCCTATTCCTTCCCCAGGCTTAATGTGTGATGATTTTGTTGGGCATCCCAGTTTTAATATTTTGAGGAACAGTGGATATTCTTTCTTCGCATTTTTTCTTTGGACTTTTTGTGATTTTTGTAGACTACAGTGGCACAGTCAAATCTCTTCCAGAGTGAAGAAGCCAAATTTCTCCTCATAAGAAAGCTGCACTGCAACTCTTACAGTTCTTGTTGTCTTTTTAATGTATTTTCTAGTTTTGCTGAGTTCTTTTTTAGATGGTACAACCATAATTTCATTAATGCTCAGTTAGTTAATGGAGAATTGCAGTAAAGGAATATTGTGGTGAACACCTACTTATTATTTCTTTGAACAGCAGATGTGTGGTCCTTTAAGTCTCAGAAACCTAAATGTGAAACTGAATTAAATTTTACATGCATCTAATAATTCATAAGTGGTAAATACAGTGTTTAATATTTTTAAAAGTTAATTCCATTGTTAAGGTACTTTACTTTTGCCTGTAAATGAGTATATAGATAATTGATCTATATATTCTGTTTTCAGGAATGTGAGAGACTGTGTGACAAGCTGCTTTTAAGACAAAGGATGAACTTCTTGTCCCAGATGTCTGCTACTCCAATAGACTGCTTGTTTAAGGTTAATAACTTTCATGGCAGAATATATATGTACTTATGTATTGCACGTTTATGTCCCTTCCTTTCTGTGATTTTTCTGAAATGTAATCCAGTGTTAATTACACTAGTACTGCGAAATGTGTTTTAATAGACTCTAAAAGCATGTTTTGAATCTAGTGCATTTCTGTGACAAAGTGTTACCAAGTTAATATAATCTTACAGATCTCAGCATGTTACATGAAATATGGAAGCAAACGAGGATGAAATGCTACTGCTGTTGAATGTCCCATTTAATGCACAGATGTGATATTACTATCTGGTTGTCTCTCACAGCTTTTAGTGCTTGAAATTGAAAGAGTTCTCTGAAATAATTTAAATGTGGTCTCCTGACAGCTACTTGATATTATATGTTAATCTTATATTGTCATTCTAAAATAATTTTGCCTATACAAGGACACAAAGCAGAGCTTCTAATTATATATGTTCACAGCTTATGCCTAGAGACTTAGTAATTTTGTAGAAATGTTTTTGCACAGAGGGAGCTCAATTTCGTGATGAGTCTAAAGAGAACAATAGGAATTGTTTCAATTTTTTATAGAAAGTGAAGTAAGCCAAGAACAGATTCTTTTTAATACTGAATGATCATTAGGGAGTTTTGTGCTGTGACATTGTTCATTTCTGCTTTTTAATGCTTGAATACATGTCTTTTATAATTAGTTCCTTTAGTTTCGTGCTCCAGTAAATTACTTTTTTTTTTGTGATTTTTTTTTTTTTTTCTTAAAAGGAGGCTTTTTATATTGGTTCCTCATTCTCTTTCTTCTCTTGGCTTTTTGCAGCATATTGCTTCAGGTAATCAGGAGGAAGTGGAGCGATTGCTAAGTCAAGGTGACAGTGATAAGGATACTGTACAGAAAATGTGTCATCCACTCTGTTACTGTGACAAATGTGAGAAGCTAGTTTCTGGGTAAGCACTTTTCATCTCCACAAATACACAAAAAGCTATGTAAAAGTCTTCATCTAAGATTTAGTTTAGAAAGTATGCTGCTTTTGGTTAGAGTGGAAGTTGATAGCACTTCAGGATGTAGTAGGGAGTGTATGTTTGTATGGTTTGGAGAAGTGGAAGAAATATTAGGAGAATACTGAATGCCTTGGAACCAACCAATTTTGTGATGGAGGCTGTAAGTCCTTTGGTAAAGGTGATGTGACATGTTTCTTCTCTTGAACCTGACTTACACATTGTGGACAAAACCACATCTCTTAACAAAACGTAAATCTTTGTAGAATAATTTGTCAATGTGAAAGCATAAAGGATAAAAAGTTTCAAATAATTTTTTTTGTTGGCCTTTGCAGTTTCTCTCTTTCTTTCCTCCTTACTACTGCTGCTTAGGTAACCGAGCTGCTTTTAAACCATTGTGTTTTAAAGGAAACTGAATGATCCTTCCATTGTCACTCCATTTTCCCGAGATGACCGGGGATATACACCACTTCATATAGCTGCTATTTGTGGTGAGTGTTGTTGGTTTTCTTCACTAGTGTCTTCCACTCCTTAGGTTTCTTATCTTTATGTTAGCATGTTTTCCAACTTTGCATTAAAGAGTGAATTTTGCATTAAACTGTTTTCTGCTTATTTGCTATGGAAACTGGCATCTTGGCACAGGCTGAAGATACTGTATATTCTTTTAAGATGAGTTTCTTATGACTAAGTTATTGTTTGTTTGCTGGCTGTTTACTTTTGCCTTAGTGGTTACCAGAGTAGTTCTTTCTTCAGCTGTGAAAAAAGTAAAAATGTGTAATAAGAAACCAGCCTTGTTTTAAAGAACTGGCAGATTGAGAAATTAATCTGTTCTCTCTCCTGCATCTGGCTATGAATTGTAGATCTGTACCATCTCCTGTCTTTTATTGTTCATTATACCATTGATCTTACATGTATTAGAAGAGGTATTAATTTTCTTAGTGATTTTTTTTTTTATAAACGATTTCCTTTTTTATTTTTCTCTTGAATCCCAATAGGAGAGTGCTTTGTTGTCTCTTATTTTCTTACTCATAAGATACAAGCATAGCTTGCTTTTAGCTGGAGGTTCTTTCATGGAGCTTTGACCTTGAGTAATCTGCAACAAAACCAAACAAATACCAAGGAAGTGAATATACAGTATATAGAAACATAGTGTGGAGAAATGCAGGGTATCTTGGTTTATAGTTCAGGTTTGAATTTGAAAAGTAGCAATGTTCTTGTGCAAGTTTCCTTCTTTCTTTTAACGCCTGCATGTTTTTCAAGGGCAAACATCATTAGTGGATTTACTAGTAGCCAAAGGAGCCATTGTCAATGCTACAGATTACCACGGTTCAACTCCACTTCACCTTGCCTGTCAGAAGGGATATCAAAACGTTACAGTAAGCACCAAAAGGCTTAATTAGAAATAAAAATAAATACTTAACCTAAATAGTAAATATATGACTCTTACTAAGCTGTTCTACTGTTGCTGTCATTTGGGTCTTCTGAGCAGCTTTTACCAGAACTGTGCACGCTGTCAGAATTGAGGATCTATTATCGTTGTAGTTTGCATGATAATTTATTTTTTCATGTACTGCAAAGTTTTCAGCCATTTGTAATAACCAAGAAATTGGCAGCTATGCACGCCTGATAATTCATCTGTTTGATTAATACAAATCTCAAATACATAATACTAATGGAGAGCCTGCATCTCTGCTCTTGATTAAGACACAAGAACCATTGCAGTCATTGCAATGAATTAAATGACTTCACATTATGTTTAGGATAGGCTGTGTGTAACTACATTGATTATGGTGTACTTGAATTTTACATATGTGAGATTCTTCAGTTAGCATTGTTGAAATTAAGCTGTGTCTTCGCTTATGTAGGCTCTTAAAATATAGGATAAATTATCATGTATGTGTATTGCAGTGTTTGCTGTAGTAGATGATTCATTTTTTCAATGACAACTCTGAATATGTAAGAAGCAGGTTTTATTTGGTTCTTAGGGTAGGGCAAAACCAGTACTGTAATGCCAAGAGGGTAGGGTCTGGAACAGGAGAGACACAGCTAGTTTTTCATTAAGTGCTTCATCATGCTAGAAACCTAAAGAAACCTACAGGATAACAATTGTTTGTCCATTAATTTTTTAGTTACTTAAACGTCCACTTTTATTTTTCTTTTGAGCTTCTCTTATTGCACTATAAAGCAAGTACTGATGTTCAGGACAATAATGGAAACACTCCACTTCATTTAGCCTGCACTTATGGTCAGGAGGATGTAAGTAATTGTTTTGTAACAAACTAAATGGACATTCTAATGGAATGGAATTAAACTGTGATGTGAATTTGCACTAAACTTACATATTTTAAAAAGTAAATTAAAAAGATTTGGAGGCTATTTAATGCTGTAAATTAGGACTTTATTCAGTAGTTGATAGCAATTTTTATTATGCATTCACATTAAAGATAGTAGTATTGTGCAAATTTAGTTGCATTATTTAACTCTTTGTTTAATGATACTGAACCATAAAAGCCTGCCCTTTAGGCAATGGATTATATGAGCAGCAATGAAAAAAACCTTTTTAGGATTGCACATGTTATATGAATTGAAAGACAATGCTATAATTTATTGATAGCTTTCTGTTTCTTTCCAGTGCGTCAAAGCTTTAGTCTACTATGATGTGCATTCCTGTAGACTAGATATTGGTAATGAAAAGGGAGATACTCCTCTCCATATAGCTGCTCGTTGGGGCTATCAAGGGATCATAGAAGTGCTTTTGCAAAATGGGGCAAATCCAGAAATTCAAAACCGGATGAAAGAGACTTCCCTACAGTGTGCATTAAATTCCAAGGTATTCCTCTTTATCTTCTCGCCTGATTGCTTTCTGATGCAGTTCCACGGAGGCGTAGATGCTTACCTGCTAATAGGATTTTGTGGTCTACTATTATTAAAGTTAAAATGTATGTTTCACTTTAAGGAAGAAGGGTCACATTTTAAATCTAATAGCATGAATACAGTCTGTGGTATAGAGCATAAACTTGTAAACGGGTACTTTTAATCTGCTTATTCATAATCTGTTACTAGTATTAGTTTGTCGGCTAATTTGTGTTTCAGTCAGTATATTCTTCTTTAGGTGGAGTCACATTGGTTCTTTTTATTAATATTTTTATGCAGATTTTGTCATTGATGGAATTAAACTATCTAACGTTTGAAAGAGGACAGAGTGCTTCTGAGGTAACAACCAGTGCAAGTTGCTAAACTGTTTTTTGCCAACGTTTAACTGGCTTAATCTGATATGTAACTTTTTCTGGTTTGTTTTTTTTTTTTTTCTTTTTGCCAACTTTAAGTCACCACTTAGGTCTCCTCAGCGCTCAACAGAAACTTTCAGCAGAGGATCATCTGTCTCAAGCCTGTCATCAGCATCAACTGATGTAAGGCAAGAAGAAGTGAAAAATAGTTATAAAGAGGTAAGACGGAGGTATAAGTTTAGCCAACAAGCAAAGTGAGGGAAGCTAGAAGAAATTGCAACACTGTTTCAAACTGCTTTTGCAGGAATAGCCTCCTGTGTGGTATGGAAAATTGTATGCTGCTGTCCTCAAGTGCTTGTCATCTCAGTATCTAAACACTTTTGTATGGTATCAACAGCTCTGCTGCTTATTTCTAGGGAAAAATTGAAAGCATATTTAGAGTAGTTGTTCAGATTTACTGCAGTGAATTACATAATTTGAGAATTAGTTCAGGTTTACAAAATTATCACGGCAGTCAGTGCACCAAGGACCTTGCTGTCCTGCCCAGGAATTATATGCCATTGTTAGCTTACAAAATCTGTCAGGGAAAAGAGACTAATACAGGCATACTGGCAAACATCAAACTCGAATGTTAAGACAAGCTTTCAAAATAGGCATAGGAAATCAATTTTGTAACATGTCAATAAGTACATACTACATACTAAAGTTCTTGCACTTATGTGTTTGCTGATTTTGCTGTCCACACCAACCAAGATGCTGTCCTCTGAATTTTTTCATGTGGGACCTCAGATCCATACTTTCCATTTCTCCCCTCCTAAGACTGTCAGATCAGTCCTTCTGATGCTTCTCTCTTTATTTTTTATCTAGTCCTCCTGCTCCATTTTTTTTCCAAATTGACCTTCTTAGTATTTTTGTTCTCTCCATATTACTCGACATTCGAATTCTTCCTTTTCCTGCTATTAAAATGTTCTTCTCTTGTCAGAAGTTTCTGTTTTCTAAAAATGTTCAAGAAACTCAAAGATGTAAAGTTTGACTGGACAATATTACTTCACACTTCATTATCAGTTACTCTATGAGAGCCTCAATATGGGAGTGTGTACCTCCCTGTTTGTACAGAGTCAAGCATTCTAAATATGGTATGTAAAAGATCACCTAACAGATTGAGGATTTATTTTTCCTTACAGGAACAAATTTATCATACCCGAGAGCTAAGACTGTAGTTCAAACCAGGGAAAAAAATTACAAGCAGCTTACACTTTAGATGCTTGGGGTTAATGACCTTCTCCTGTAATCCAGCTTTAGTTCATTTCTGTTTGCCAAGTTTCACAGGGGCTCACTGCTCTTATTCTTACTAAGCAAAGAAGCAAGGGCCTAATCCTGAGCGAGCTCCATGAAGGGAATGCCAGTGGAAGTAAAGGGAAGCTGGTAAGGTCAGTTTTCCAGACTTCAAGGCTTAGACTATGGATTAAGTGGATGCAGTTAGATTTTTGTTAATCACTACTGCTGGTCAATTAAACTCTTCACTTAAATGAGCCAGTCATGGTGTGTATCTTGTATATGTCTTGCTTACAACTTAGAAAAGAGAGTAAAAGAGCCAGGCATGTAAATTTGGAACTTCCTCTGTTGGAACTAATAACTGTGCACAACTTGAGTTCAGCAACAGAAAAACTAAGCATGTTAGTGAATTGCAGTAGAATGGTTTTATCTATTTTTACATTTAAAGGAATGTACTTCTGTTCCATGAAGGAGTAAGAATGCAAAGTGAAATGATGGGGAAATGCATGTAGCAGACATATTGTCTTAAGTACTCCTAATAAATTATCTATAAGCTGCATAACAGATGTTGTATGCTTCTCCACTGCTAGGGCCTGAGGCAGTTTTTAGAACTGTAAAGAAGTTGTTATTTTTGGAAAGAAATTATCAGAGCTTGTGGGTCACTTGCTATTACTGTTAGGCATCTTGTATGTGATAAGACTGGCTCCTGAAAATCATCAAGACATTTCCATTCTCCAGTGACGTTACCCTATATGAATAGGGGAAATTTGTGGGAGGCACAGATCTCCCTACTATACATAGTCAGCTCACCTAACTTTAGGTCTGAAAGAAAATTGTCTTAAATTTAGACATTTATTTTCCCTCCTTAGTTTGTGTAGAGAAATCAGTAACTTCAGAGAGGAATTAATCTGAGATGCTGAGTTTGACCTGAGTTTCACATGAGTGTCACTTGTTGACTGCCTTCTGTTCTGTGGTTACCAGAGAGGGAGTTTAAATGACTGGCTTAGATTTACATGGTAACTTTTAGACAGTTGAGTTTATCACAGAGGAATTCTGCTTTGAGTGCTTACATGACTTACAGAAGCTTCACGTTGTATTAGAAAGGTAGTAATAAAATAAAACTTAGCAGCTTTCCTAAAAATGACATAAAAATGGATGGAGAGATTTAATCTAGCCTCTGATCTCTGGATGTGTCCTGTTCTTCTGCTAAAACCCTGAAGAAAGAGATCATACCAGTAAAACCCAACTTCCTTTAAGTGTCATTCTTCCTTGTTTGCTTTACCAAACACTGCTGTCACCAACAGGAAGGTAGTCATTTCTAGATAAAGATTGAAATGTCACTGTAGCTTTTACTCTATGACATCTCCAATTTGCAAGATGTTTCTTAATATTGAAACAACTTTGTTTACATAGCAGCATCTTTAGTGATTCTAGCACAATGCTGGTGTAATTTCCTATAATGATGAAACAGACTTTCACAAAGCTTATTAAATGAGGCTTCAACAATCTGCAGAGGACAAGTTGCCTATTGATAGTACAAATGGACTCTCCCTGCCCTTTTACTGGCACCTGTCCCATTCCTATCAGATTAGGTCTCAATTCCTTCACATGACAATAGAGAATCAGAGAAGCAGGGAGACAAGTACATCATTCTCCTGCTTTCAATAGCAATTGGAGGGATCAGGGGAATGGCATCAGTGTGCTGCAGAGCACCTTCCATCTCTTTTTCCCCTCACTTGCCTCTTTCCCCCCTGCAGAGCTCATAAACAGGAGAATACCTACACCAAGCAGTTGTGCTTGGGCATTAGCTCACCTGAGCATACGCATACTTAATTGGTCTAATGCTGGTCCCCAGGAATAACTCTTTGAGTTGAAGAGACCTGGCTTTGACTAATGTGTACCCTTTGATACTTGTATCTTTTAAGATATTAAGTAAGAAAACAAATTTCATACTTGCAATCAAGTTAGATTTGTAAATATTTGTTTTTTAACATAAGAATAAACGAGTAATCTGCAGATGTGAATAATTGGAAAGCATCTTTTTAATCTTAAACTTTTGTTTCTCAAATAGCAAAATAAAACCTGCTGTCCTTTGTGCTTCTGGTAGCATATAGTAGCTCAGCAAGAGTCCAAACAGTACTAGCATTTGTCAGTGTAGAAATTTGTCTTGAGTAGGGATTTTTAATGTTATGGTCACAACAGAAATGCATGGTCAGCTGCTGTTGAAGCAGCATAATAATATATATCAGCTTACATGGCTTTGTGTGTGGACTACATGTCCTCTATTTAGGTAAGTACTGTTTATCTTTAACTAAGCAAGTCAGAGATCATCAAATAGCCACAGGCCTTGCACAGCTTTTGTATTTCATAAAAGAAGAAGGTTTTTCCTTTAAAACTTTATCAACATTTATGGGCCAGCAGTAATCCTACCACATGATCTTAGGAGGTTAGTAAAGGATGCAGGATTTTCTGTGTACAGCTTAATACTAATACTAACAAAGTAAATAAATTTTCTTCATGCATAGGTGGAAAAACTTCTAAGAGCAGTTGCTGACGGAGATCTGGAAATGGTGAGACTTATCATGGCTGTAGAATATTATTGAATTCCAATTTACCTCATTCAAATTGAGGAATTTATTTCTAAATAGTGTCAAGTGAAGAACGCTTTGAGTAATACCTTCCTTCATCAAAAATTAATCAAATTTAGCTCATTTTCTACAAAGAATGTTCATTCCATGTCCCCAAATTATTTTGCCTGTAGTGCTTTAGGGCCCATTATTTTGACATTTCCATGACCTCTTGCACTAAAGAAATTACTATATATTGAAAATTAATTTGTGAAGCCTGTAATTTAAAAATGTATGCATAGTCACCTCTAGGAGTTGCAAAGAACTTGGGAAGAAGAACGTTCAGGGCAGGCATGTTGAAGAGAAATATTGTGGGAAAGAGCAATTTAATTGCTTGCAGGTGCTCAAGCTGCACTGTCAAATGCCGTTGTTAGATGGGGGTAGCATGGTGCATTGCAAACCTGTAAAAAGATATGTATACTGAGGTCACAATATTGGGCTGGATATGCAGTCAGCAGAAAAAAACCCCAGCAAAATAGATGAGTTTTCAGGTAAATGTGATTTTTGACAGCAAATCCAATAGAAAGTATAATTATTCGCAGTTGCTTGATCCTGTGTCACGGAAGCGCATTATATCTTTTCCTATATGTGCATTGATGCAGGCGCTCAAGCGGCAATGCTGTGCACCAGTTCTGGAAACTGAATGGTGGGATTTACAGTTTATGTTTTTTTGGCTTAGGAAGCATTCCAGTAATACAGTGTTTTTAAATCCACAAATATTTTTTGATGCCTAAATTGCCAGGTTATCTAATGTTTTGAATATTGTCTACTCTTTATTGTGTGTTTACTGCATATAATAATTGTGCATAAATACTGTAAATTAAAAATGGGCTCATATTTTGTTTGTTGTAATACCTTTTTATTAATATTTTATCCAGAGAGGAAATTTAGGTGACACCAGTCAGTACAGAGAGGTTACCACAGGGACATACAACTTTACTGTAGTTTGGATTTCACTTCAAATAGATAGCTGATGGCTATAATAATACCAGTTTCAGAGTTGATGTTCTGTAATTCGTGATACTTATCACCTGTCTTGGCATTTTTTAGTTACTGTTGCCCTTTATTCCTGAAAATTTGGACAATAGGGTCCTTCTAATATCATTCTACTGAAAAATTGAAGATGACATGGAAATCTTTAGAAGTTTTTTCTTTGGAAAAATGTATAAGGCTGTAAATTTCTTAATTGCTTTCTAGTTCACAGAACAAAATCATAAACCCATGTGAGAATGTGTGTTTCTCTGCTGGATGTATGTTCTGAAAAATTTGTTTAGATGATCTGTACCAGGAGTTACAGATGCTAATGAAGCATTACGTAGTCATAATAAAATAGATAATTTATGTCACAAAAAACTTACAGGAAATGTGAGAAGTTTCTCTTCCTCAAAAACGAGGCATTGCACATTGAGGAAAAAGTGAAACTGTCAAGCTCTTGGGAAGTGACAGACCTAAGAAAAGTCAGTGTGCCTGCAAAGTTTTGCGTATTAGTTAAATGTCATCATCCTTGTCACTTCTTATGTTTAATAAAGTAAAAGATGAAACAAAATTTGCATTGATATAAGGTGGCACAAATCATCTGGGCTAAAAGGATTTGGAGGGTTTGAGAAAAAGTGAACACTGTGGTCTTGATTAGGCAGCAGGAAGTCATTTATAATTTACTTCACTGCTATACTTGGTGAAATTTCTAGCTGCTTTGTCAACAATAACATTTGATTTTTTAATTTGGCCTCTGGGCAGCAGATGCCAGGAGGTAGCTGTATAGTCTCCCTGAGATAGTCACAAGTGTATGTTTGTGAAATCTTACTTGTCTACATATGCAAATTTATTTGGACATGGAACCTTTGGACTCTAAAAAGGAGGACTTGCTTTTTATGCCAGGTACGTTATCTCTTGGAATGGATGGAAGAAGACTTGGAAGATGAGGATGACACAGCCAGTACATCAAAGCCAGAATTCTGCCATCCATTATGCCAGTGCTCAAAATGTGGGCCAGCACAAAAGGTTGGAATATGCATTCTGTTAAAAGAATAATTTATATTCTTGTAATGTGACTTTTAGCTCTAGGGAAGTAGCATTCATATTGCCCAGTACCTCTCTATCTCTGTCTAAAAAGCAATGAAATATACATAGATCTTAACAGAGTTCCTCTGATGTTATGAAATGGTTCTCTTTTTAATTGAACTGTAGAAAATTTGGGATACAGGAACAGGGTTTAAAGACCTGGAGTGAAAAAACTTTCCAGTTTGATTTTAGCGTATGTGGACTGCTGTCATTAGGGTTTGCACAACTTTGAATAAATGGCAAAAATACTTTTCTAAGCCTCAGTTTCTCCTGGTTCTCTTTTATGGTTTACATTGCTAACTGTCACAGAGTATCAGTGATCAACATCTACTTATCTGTTAGTAATCAGTTTAGCAAGGAATACCTGTTAATCCTATAATCAATGTCATACTTAAAGTCTTTTGAATTGCATATCCTTCATACAAACTATATGTAAAACTTCTTCAGAGATTAAATATAATTGCAAAGACTTTCCCTTTATTTGTCATGGACGGTAGAGGAGAGTCAGTCTTTACATTACACATTTTTTTTTAAATTTTAATAATGATCCCAGCTTTCTGGAAATAGAAAACCAATTACTTGCCTTTCAGGAAGAGCGTGTTACTATGTCTGAATATATACATAACTGGGTAAGTCATGTCAAAATAAGCCAAAGTATAAATTTTCAGTGTATTGTCTACTTTGAGGTAACAATATCCATATCTCTTAACTAAGATTTATTACAGGAAATGTGAGATGGCTTAACTTCTTCTAAATCCCTCACTGCTACCTTATGTTTATTTTGTGCAGGCTAAGAATATGCTGGTTGTCCTAAAATGCTTCACATTCACGCCATGTTTTATTCTCTGTTAACGTGTGTCCATGTACCCTCAGTACAGAGATCATATACTAAACGTACCAGAGCCTGAGACCATAAAGTTCATTTTATTGATAAAGGGGAGGAATGGCATTTGCTGAGGAATTTACTTGCCTACGGAATGAAAAATAGAAGGAACTTGTTAACTAATCTTAACCACTGTATTAGGTAGGCACACATTTAAAATGACACTGAGGACAGGCAGAATGAAAGATTGTCTACGACGGTACATGTTTAGGCACATAGACAGTTTGCAAGAGGAGTAAAAAAGGATGTTCTGTACTGCTGTGTAAGCTGTCTTCCAGCGAATTTCCTTATCTTAACTCCCCATGAGAGTCTCTTCCCTGGGCCAGTGTTATTTCCATATGAATAAAATTAATTTTAGTTTTTAACCTTACTACCTCCAGCTTCATGTAGCGGTAAAAGGTATGTAGTGTCTGTGCCCAAGAGCATAAATGAAAGTAACTCTATTAATTCTCACTCTCCATATGTATGAGCATCCTAACAGCTATATAAAAACTGTTTTATTTTCATCTCAACCTGTGCTGCTTTTAGCCTCTTTTTATTATCATGAATACTTTGCCTAGAATTTCTCTATATGAAGCTATCACATTAGAAGAAAAGAGAGAAAAATAAAACTCATTGTTCTGTTGAAAAATGCTACCATGCTGCTCTGGTTTACTAACTCTTTTCCTGAAGGTCTTAAATTAGGCTCTGTTGCAGAAGTTCTTGTAATATCCATATACTTAGATGGTATTTGGCTGCATTTTGGTCAACAGAAAGTAGCATGATTAATTATGTAGTTTTGTTGTGTCTTTTCCTTAACAGAAATTTGCAAGGATCTCTGCTAATGGACTTGGAGTAAATGTTTCAAACCAAGATGGTTTTACACCACTGCACATGGCTGCACTGCATGGACACTCTGAACTTGTCTCTCTCTTGTTGCAACATGGAGCCAGTATCAGTGCCAAGAATGCAAAACTTGCAGTTCCTCTTCATCTAGCCTGCCAGAAAGGTCACTTCCAGGTAACTGAGCCTCTTTGTAAATGCAAGCTATTTGACACTTAACTACCAATGAAAAGCTGCTTTGTGAAATTATCAACAAATTATTAACAAGACTAAACGAGTAACAGTGAAAATTAGTTTGCTGATTCTGATGGAAAGTGAATATTTCAACTGAAACAGTTTCTGTAGGCACCTTTTCTTTCTAAATGACCTGAAAAAATGATTTAATGAAGATGCTGTGACTAGCTACTGTCATATATTAAACACTTCAAAAATAGCTTGTGCAGATGAATCTTCCTATGTATTTTCTCTCTGTACTGTCTGTTCAAGGAGGTTATGTGTACATCTGTTGATGGAGTGGACTTGGTATCTTCAGTATCCACAGTATTAAATATTTACTGTACCTTCAACTCATTTAAGTAGACTATGAGCCAAGTGGAGCTCTGAGGGTAGCAAATAACTTCATCCCTGACTTCAGGTCAGGGAAGCATAAGCACTGAAGGAGAAGCACAAGCTAGTGAGAGGAGAATATTAATACAGGAGGGGAGTAAATGAGAGTGGAAAAATTACAGTGATGAAAAAGCAGGTGCAGTCAGGCAAATGGGAATATTCAGGAAAGTGTAAAACTAGGGTTTTAAGAATAAGGAGCTGGGGACTGCAAGAGGGGAAAAAATGAGAGAATTGTGAAGATGATGGGGGGTCAAAGCACTAGGGAAGCGAGAAGAAAACAAGAATACAGCTCAAACTTGCAGGTTAGTTTGTGGGTATATACAACATAATGCCTTCCAGGTGTTCATATGAGGTTGGAAAGGGTGAAAGGATACTGTTGCTGTGGTGGTTTGTTTTTGATGTTTTGTTAAGTTACCGATTATCTATAGTTTTTCTCATACCTTGAGTTGTATAGTCTGGCCTTCCTTTCAGTTGCTTAAGGTTTTTTTAAAAAGCATGTGGTAAAATGTGAAAATTAGTATGATAGAAAGAGATGCTTGTGGTTATGATCTGTTTAGCAAAGATGAGACTTGTTCTCTCCATCCTTTTTTCTTCTATCTTCATTCTAGATTTAAAAAAAAATTAAAAAATAACGAGGGGTGGTTTTTACTGCATGATTAAAGTTAGCTGATATCTTAAATTTAAAAAGTTGTTACTTTTTTCAATAGGTGGTAAAGTGTCTGATGGATTACAATGCTAAACAAAATAAAAAGGATATATATGGAAATACTCCTTTAATTTATGCATGCTTGAATGGTCAGTATGAGACTACTGCCTTGTTGTTACAGGTAGGATTACTGAAAATGGAATGTTCAGAATAGTATTTCTTATGTGGTATCTGTGCTTATCCAGTACTCGGGATCAGTATTTTTAGTTATGTATTCCTCTACCAAAACTACCTGGGGAAAAAATATGAGTATTTTTTATCTCATTCCTTTCAATCCCTTCCTTTGATGTTTTTTTATTAGATAAATACTACATTACTATTGTACAGCTAGCTGTTTTTATGGAACATTTTTGTGGCAGTTGTTAGGTTTTCTTATGATTCTGTCATGTAGGGTTTTTTGCAGTTTTTGTGATTTTTGCTTTGTTTTGTTTTTAAGTACCGCTTGAAGTTGGAATATGTAGTAGATACATACAAAAATCAAATGAGCTGATCCATGAAATTGTGGCTATGAGAGAGGAGGAAATGCTATGATTAGGTGGCTTCTTGTTGAACTGGTGATTCCTAGCATATGCTTTCTGTGTTTGCATACAGCTACAAGGCTGCTGTTGCATTGTTCTCATTCGTACATTGAAAAGAAAAGGAGAGAAAACCAGAATAGTAATGTGCTATCTCCATTTCATGCTACTCTGTCTTTATAACTTCAATTTCATCTTGCTGTCCAGCATGGAGCTTCTGTTAACCTTTCCAATGCCAAAGGAAATACAGCACTGCATGAGGCCGTGATAGGAAAGAATGAATCCCTGGTAGACTTGCTACTTCAGAACGGTGCAATGACGCACATAAGGAACGAAAGGAACTGTACCCCTGCGGACTGTGCGGAGCCGGTGAGTGCAGAAAGCTCAGTTCTGCCATGAGATTTTCATAAGTTCCATATGCATAATGTAGGAATGAAAACAAATGTAACTGTTCGTCACAACAGCACTTGGCAAGACTTCTGTATGTAACGGTTATGTGTGATATAAAGACTAAGATGCCTGTTTATTGTACAACATACAATATGATACCTGTGGTATATGAAACCTGTTGTGGTTCTAAAATAAGTTGTCCTAGACAATAAGGATGAGTCTATAAAGAGTGAAAGCACATATGTGAATGAAAATGACATTAAAATCTATGCTAATAATGGCAGAGAGAGCAGAACAAATGTTGAATGTAGGAAAATTAACACCTTTCACTAATCAGTTACACTGCTAGCAATCTTCCTTGTTCCACCCACCATCTTTTGCCCTTCATGCCTTTTGGTATGTTTATTTTGTCATTGATAACTATGACCTTCCCCTTTATTAATAGCAATAGCATAATATGTAACATTAAATTATAAAGAATTATTTCACTCTTTAAATTATTTGATGCATGGTCCCTAACTTTATATACTTAAATAACCTCTGAGATGTAGCATAATGACAACAAAATTCTGTAATGAATCAATTTTAGTATGTGTATTATCATTTAAACTGAAATTAGCTTAATAGTAAATAACACAGTTTAGAATAATAGGTCCGGACTACAAAATCATCACTTTGGTACAGTGCAACTTGTGGAACAATGATTTTGTCCCTACTCAAAAATGATACAATTTAAATTTTGTATTTATAATGAGGTATTTTTGTGTGCGTTACATTCATTGGGCAGCAGTTAATTAACACACTCTGCATAGACTAGAATCCTAAATTGTACTGATGTTTTTCTTTTTCTTTAATAATGGTGAAAATGGAAACTTTTAAAATTAAGAATTCAAATATCATTAAGTTGCTGGAAACAGCACCAAGCTATGTACCTACATCAGCAGAGAGAGAAAAGGAGTGTGAGCAGCATGCTACTATCAAGATAAGAAAAAAAGGTACATGTCATCTTTCCACTGGTATGAGTAAAAAAGGGATTTAGGAATTAATGTGCAACAATATCAAATATTTTATATAATTGATTTACATATAATTAAAGAACAGTCAACTATTTTGCGTATTTATTGCAGCTAACACCTAAAATACTGTAACTAAATGCAGCAGGCTTTGTATTATGACCACTGCAAACTCAGTTTTCACTTTTTTGGTGCATGGGGGGGAATTTTACATACAAAAGCATTTCAAGTTAAAAACCATGAGATTATATAATTAACCATGAGATTATATAATTGTCCATTTCAGTGCAAAGTAAACCAGGTTAATTTAAATCACCTCTAGTTGTCATTTACATTGCCCTAAAACAGGCTAGGGAGTCACTCTTCCATTAGTTACTGTCTCATATTACGGGACAGCAATAAGAGCTACAGAGGTAACTGTCTAAACCATAAGCACAGTTTGCAAAAGAACGACTTTCAGTAAATGTCAGCATATAGTACAGTGTAAGCAAATATGTTGAGACCCATTGTACAGTTTGACAGTACAGCTGAGCTGATGTAATGGCTTATTGCCACTTAAAAGAGATGGTGTTACTCATCAACCATCCTCACCTCCTCCCTGTCACCCCCAGCTTCTGGTCTTGCTTATCCACTACTTTCCTTATGCTGGCTCGGAAGTTTTTCATGAATTTTCAAGCTGATACAGTTCACTAATGTGTGGGGCAAGGGGTGTCACAAGTTTTGTGCTGAGCTAGACAATTCAGCAGAGAGAAGTACGTGCTGCCACCAGAACTGTGTAGAGAAGACAGTGAGGCTGCACGAGCAGGAATTAGGGAAGTTGAGGAACGTGTGCCCATTTCAGCATCCACACGTTTTAGTTAGGCTTTTCAAAATAGCTCTTGCCTGGTCCCCTAGGAAAGATTGTGAATGTTTCATTAATACAAAACCAAAAATAATAACAGTATGCTGATGCCCAAGACTGATATAGTTCTTTCAAATATTATGAAAATAGTTCTAAAAGGACAACAGAAGACCTAAGTAATTTTAATGAACAGGTGGTATAACCTCTGTGTGTTAATTAAGTCAGGTTTGTAAAAATTGGAATTGGGGGCCTCAAAATCCAGAATTACATGGTCATTTCAGAAGCATCAGTCATGCTCATCTGATGAAGAATGCTTACTCCTGCAACTTAAAATGCTTTAAAATTTCCAAAGATAAATTGTGGCTTTGATTCAAGTTATTACTATTATAGTTTTACTGCAAAATTTTAAATCTAATGTCAGTAGATACCACTTTTCATTCAGAACTGTGTTTTTTTATTTCTAAATTGTGACTAAGTTGTAATTTTAGCTGCATGTTCTTTTAAACCCCTAGTGAATTCTAAGCCATGTGAGAAAGCTGATGATCCCATAAGCAGACAACTTCAACTGGTCCAATCAATTAACAGATTTAACAAGTAAGCATAGAAGCTTCCTCAGAAGTATGTTTATTGTTTCCCATAAGCGAACAAGAAATGCAACTGTTAATAAAGCCCAAAACTGGCTCAAGCCTTGTGGCACATCACATATGACTAATTTGACAGTAGATGTTAATCCTCTGAGGCATGCACATTCATATCACCAGGCAGATGTTCTAGGCATGACGTACTCATTGGTGGTGAACAGCAGTGATGTGCTGTGCAGCAGGAGGGAAGAGCTGGCTGGCACAAGAGTACTCCCAAATGTATTTAAAACTGGTTTTGCACTAATACTTGGTGTACCATGAATTAAGAATTTCAGAGACAGACTGCTTTAAAAATACCATCTTAGTGCTTCACTCAGTGGTCGGGTTTTGCCTATGATCTTTTTAAATGTTAATGTATATTCTGTGATAAAATACAGGGAATGCTAGTAGGCTGTCATTTTGAGGTGGTGGTGTCAGACAGTGGCCCTTCTGTTTTGAGATAGTGCCACCATGTGGGTTCTTTGTGATCGAGACTTTTGTGGAAAGACTGACGTAGTTAAATTTAATTTCTTTAAAATGTTTTTTTAGAGCAAAACATTTACGAAGAACAATAACAAGAGATAAAAGTGTCCCTAATTTTGACTATCAGTTACTGCATCAGGTAAGTGGAAATACTTGCTTGAATTATTTAATATAGCAAATCTGTTTGTTTTGTCTGTTATTAATATAGATGCATATCATGGGAAAGTTTCTTTAGCACTGGTGGTTGGTGAATCCCAAAAGTTCTGACCTGTTTGCTGAATTGCTAAGGTTTCGTCATTGCTCAGACTTCAGTTGTGCTTCTGTAACACCTCTTAAACATCTTATTCTTACTTTTAAACATCTTAAGCCTCTTATTGCAGGCCTCATCTCTGTCTTGTTTTCTGTGTCATGTCTAGCAAAATCTAGGTTATACCAAAGCTTGAAAAACTCTACAGCTTGTAAGAGCTGTAGCCGAGCAGAATTTACAAGAGAGAAATTTTTCAATAGACTAAAATTAGAGTTTGCATGATAAGTCTTCTTGTAGGAGGAGATTGTTTGCACAGGTGATAATAAACTGCATGTTGCATTGTCAGCTGTGACACAAATACAGGTAATCAACTGATCTATGGTAGGGGGTACCACGGCACCCCACACCAGTCTGTCAGATGCCGCCCTCCACCCAGAGCGTGTGGTTCCTCTTCCTCTTTTACACTGGCTTTGACTCTCATTGGACCTTCTGCTGAGCCATTTCAGCATATTAAATCAAGAGGAGAAACTAACCTATTCAAAAGAAAACAGTTTTCTAGCAGGTTAGTTCAGTAGTTGCCCATTATTAGATTGACATAGTCTTGGAAATGCAGACTCTGCTGCTCATCTCCATCTGGAAACTGGAATACTGTTGTATTTCATAGAGCCCTTAAGAGATTTAACATTTGCAGAGAGCCTTGAGAATGCCAAATGAATGCTATAAAACTGTAATATTTTATGAATTCTTTCTAGTATTAATGATCATATCCCACTATTTAATTAAATGTGGTATTTAGATTTTATAATTGTGACTCGCTGAAGGCAGCATGTCAGGTAAGTACAGCAGGTGTCAGAAAACTAATACATGACCATGATACATAGCACTTTAATCATGTGTGACTGTCGTGGCCTTGTGAAATCATACAGCTCTCAATCATTAGTGGGTTTAAACATGTATAATCTCCCTCTGAAGCTTTTTCAAGATTGTTGTCATTATTTCAATAAACGGGTAGCATAATTAATTTCTGCCTTTAGTTCTTATCTTAGAAAATCTGTCATTAGCATGCTTGGGTTTGTTATTTTAACATTTGCTGAGTGGCCAGTAATCAAGGAGAGCCACCTACTCTGGAAAGGAAAAATCAGGATTGGATGTGGAAATGGAAGATCAGAATATTTGGAATGAGCAATATGAGTCTTTAAGGGGGCTGGGGAGGACGGGGGTGTCTTCCCTGATGAGCAGGATCTGGAAGCAGGGAGGTTTTGGCCTGGTTGAGCCTGTCTGTATTACTACTTACACATTTCTTAACAGTAGAAGAAATGGCTATTAATTTTAAGTACCGTGAGACTTGTATTACAAAAGGTGTTTAGAAGAGCTAGGATGATATTGGAGTAGTGCAGTGAAAATAAGTTTTGGAATGCCTTCATTATCTTTCCAGTTCTGGTACTAATGTATGTGTAGCCTGCGGCATGTTGGCCTCTTCTTGTTTTCCAAATGTAGATCAAATATAACTACTGTCCTACACAGTGTGCTATTTTTAATCCTCGACTGTGTTCTCAGTATAAAGAATAACACGAAAATAATGTGATAATTATATTCAAAATACACTATATTCATTTTACTTCTTTGTAATGAAGAAAGTAGACAATGCTTTTAATGTACCATTTTTCTATCCTCACAGTTAGCTATTAAAAGCTTTGATAAAACCAAATTAAAATCTGTTGAAACACTGGACCAGACTAAAGTTAAGATTAGTGACACAGGACGCAGTGGTGAAGTTGTGAACCATGATGACATGATAGAAGTTCCTCACAAGAGTAAATTAATGCACCGAAGACACACTGTTAATGTGCCGCTTTCAGCAGAGAATGTTAGTGATAATAGTTTATCCAGCCCTACAGATCCAAGTATTTCACAATCAAGAGACTGCTGCGATGACTTGCTTTCAAAACATTGACAAGGAAGTGTGAATTTGATGTCAAAAGCTGAGGAACTAGATGGTGTTAATTTCTATAACCCTTCACCGTATATTGAAGAATTGGGTGACGCTTGCAAGCTTGCCTTCAGAACAGAATACAAGGATGGCCCTTCAGCAGAAACAGAATGTTCCTAGCTCTTTGGAAGACTGAATCTTCTGCTTGTATTGGAGGTAACTACACAGCCAGATCGTTACTGATCTCAACAAACAGGAACGTACTGAGATGTGGACAGCAAAATTACTTTCCTGTTCTACTCAGCACTTACTGAAAAATTGTATGTAACAGTAAACCAAACAAAACCCTGTATTGTATTTTTCAGCTACCCACTTTGTTTTTAAGTCTTTGAATAATTTTTGCATTTTCAGTTTTTAACACTGCATTGGATAAGTATATATAAATATATATATATATTTATATATAAAAAGATATATTGGATAACAAATTATTTATTGCCAGAGGTAATTGAAATGTCTTTATTTTTATTGTAATGTTACAAAACATTATAGGATATATTTCTGTATATTTCAGTAGCTGGGAAAACAATAGTCCATAACATCTGCAACACTGCATTAGAAATTTATACATGCTATTAATGTGAAGGGATGCAATCCTTGCTAATTTCTTTGCAACACTCCCCTGTATTGGATCTGCAAGGTCAAGTTCTTACCCAGGAGACAAGATACTCAGAAAAAAGTAGAGTGCCATTGACAAAGCTAAACTTGGGACTCACTGTTCACAGCCTCATTAAAAAAAATATGCAGAAGCAAGCATGTATAAGGACACGCAAAATTATTTTAAGTTGTTTAGGTGTTGTTCTTTTTTTCCCTTCCTTCCTCTAAACCAACTCATGCAAAAATGCACAAATATTTATGGTTCTGAACCTGGGCAACATCTGCAGACAAAACTGCTGAGGGAGCCTACTCTGGAGTGCTCTTTAAAAAGGTGAAAGTCCACTTATGAAAGGTACTGCTCACATCAGTAAGCATTTGTTGGAATAGGCCAAATATTACCCCGTTCCTCGAGGTGATCACTGAAGAATTTAAAGTTCACAAGTAGCTATGAGATGGCTGCTTAGATTTGATCTTCATTTTCGACTGTTTCAGTTATGGTAGAGAGAACATACAAATAGCACAAGCCAGGTTTCTATGTACAGGATTTTTTTTTTCTTGGCTCATTACATCCAGCTTGCATTTTATTTCATAAAACTCTTTGTATGAATAATTGTATTTCTTTTAACTGTGGTACTAGTAAACTGCCTGGCGAAGTACAAAGCTGGAAGACATACTGGTGATTTTTTTTCAAATAATTTTTTAATCTAAGAGGTAAAATGTGCAATAAGTGCACATATGGACATTTGGAGATGAGGGTCGTGTTTATTTTTCTAATAATTTATGAGTTCTGCTGATTTTCTAATGTGCCTTGGATTTGTGCCAAATGATGGAAAGAAAAAACTAGTAAAGTAACTTGAAAATGCTGTTTTGAGTGCTTTTTTCAAAGCATTGACTCTTTTACATAGATTTCCTTCCTTTTGTTTTTGTAGGCATTTGAAGGCTTCACCTTGTGTCTATGTGCAAATTGAGGGATCTGTTGGAATTTACTCTCGAGTTCAGTATGACCTTCCCTCCTACATTCATGGATTCGTATTATTAGGTTGTGGGGTTTTAGATCTAACGCATAGAGGTTCTGTACAATAAAGAATTGTTACTGAAACAATGTTTTCATGTAACTTCCTTCTCTAGCTCTATATTCCCATTTAAAAAAAATGATAATAAAAAAAGTAGGATGGATGTCCAGCTATTACAAGTGAAAAGACCAAGAAGAAAGAGATAGGAACTAGGTTTTTTTCATCTTGTGACACTATAAAGATGACCTAGAGTAAGTCACTTATCCTTACCTGCAGCAAAAATAACCTAGAGATTACTTATAGTTTAAGATACAAGTAAACTTTCATGGATCTGATTCCCACACTACATAGTGAGAATTTTGTTTGTGTTTTAATTATATTGTGCATTTAACTAAATGATTCTTGTCTTAAGACTGCCTGACAACATGGATGAGAAAAATCAGTTTATTAGCTTATTAATACTGGTGACACTATGCTACAGAGCGTAAGTACAGAATGTGCTGCTGTAACTACAGACCATGAGTTAGCACAATGATACTAAGTTCATTATCAAGTTTTTTTATTAATTCTTAATAATAAGCATAGTGTGGTTGAAGAGTTTTTGAAACAAGTTTTAAGATAGCTTACTAAATACCTTTGAAAGGTTAAAGATAAGTATCAGAGGATGTGAGCTTTGAATTTAGATACTTTTTTTTCTATTAAAAACAAATTTTGAATACAAGGAACACAATTTGTTTGATACTGTTATATTTTAAGCATAAAGTATTGTGTTGTATTTTATGCAAGCCATGACACAGCTGTAACACTCCCAAGTTTCAGCCTTGATATGAATGGTTATATAATTATTGGTTAATTTAACTCTTAAAAGTTAAGAATTGGCCAGGTGTTGAAGTAGCACTTGCCTGTGAAAAACTTGCCCCCCAAGTAGAATACAAAATTTTCAAGAAAAAACCCCCATGTAGTAGCTTACAAAGGTGACTTAATGCAGACTTTGTGCCTATTGCCTAATGTATTTTTTTAACAAAAATCTGTACTCTAAGACATCTAACAGAATATTTTTTTCTTTAGTTTTATAGAAAAAAGTACAAATTTATTAGAATTAACCTGAGTTTTATATTATGTTACAGTATCAGAGCAGTTGTCCTTGTAAACCTGAGGCTGCTTAACTGATCAAGGCGTGCTTCAGTTTTATTCAGCATTCAGTGTAGGATAAAGCTTATTTCCAGGCCCTTTGGATATATGGCAGATGTATAAAAACAAAACACAACCACCCCTTAAATGCCAAACAGTTCCACTATAACCTAAATGATGGAAAGATGACAACTAACAAATTATTTAGGTAAATGAAATAGTTTGCAAGTTTCCTTTGACAGGCTTAACCAAACCTGTAATTAAAAAGGTATCTTAGTATTCAAAGATACAAAGATCAAAGGCTAAACTGCAATAGAATTTGGAGTAGCCCTGGAAGCTTCCCCTAGCAATCTAGTGCAAATATACTGAAGTCAACTTCGTAACACTTATGATTTGTCTGCAACTCATGTTGCTGTATAGTCCAGCTAAATACAAACCCTTACTCGACGTTTTGACAACTGAGATTCTGTAACAGCCATTCTGGAAAAACAGCAAAGCAATAAAGCTTATGTTGTTATAAGTAGAATTTGGTAAATTTAGGAAGGGGAAAGTGAAGCATGGATGCTTAGTATGTATCTGTAGTCCTAATGGGAAAACTAAACCATCTATGATCACCCCACCTTGGCTTGAAACTCTTCACACTCCTAAAGGGTCATTAGTCTAAAGAAATTTAGTGTATACTCACAATATTACTGAAGTTAAAGAATCCTAATTACAAACACTGGCAAGCAAAAGGCCCAGTCTAGTCCAAATGAAACAAAAATAACTGTTTAAATACTTTTTAACCACATTTACACAAGATGAAACACACCCACTAGTGCTCACTTGAAACAATTTTATTCTGTTCCAAAAAACACTGTAGTTGGGATCACACATGTTCCTGTCAAATTATGTCAGAAAACAGTTTTGTGGTGGAAGAGTGTTTATCAGCACATTACAGTATTTATCCTACTTAGTTCCATAACCATATTTTTGAATAAATGTATAGCACAAGTTCAGTTTTACTTTATGCATGCAGGAGTTGCAGAAAGTTTAGGAAAACAGTATTTTTTTTTCAAGGTAAGAAACACTCCAACCATTTGATAAAAATGGAGGTAGTTCTAAGAATAAACAATATCAAGTGTCTGAACGGTGCTCTATTACACAGTTAACTTGCTTTTTTTGAGATAGTTTGATTGTTTCATAGGGGAGGTTCAATTGTATGCTGGTTACAGTTTCTTTACACAGACTGCCTGATGTGGACTCCTCTGATCCAAACACTACTTTGATGCCTTCACTTTGTTTTATTCCAACAAGGACTTGACAGCCAGTGAGCTGCTGGATAGGCTTCTTTCAGCAGCTTAGGAAATCTCATTTCTGACACTTCTGTGATTTAGAGCCCAGAGAAAAGTCTTTAAACTCTAGAGAGTGGCTGTTCCCAGCTTGACACTGCTCCTCCTCATGTTATGGTATCTCCAATAGCAGCAAGTTAAGTGTGTGCAGTTGCTGAAAGCAAAGCTTACACACTGAGTAAGGGGCAACAAAATGTTCATGCTAATGAAGCACTGGGGAACCCCACACTGCTTGGGCCTCTTATACTACAAAAGTGTAAGTTATAAAATCCCCTTCTCAGATTTATTTTACAAGACAAGTTCATTTGTTGGCCTTTTTATTAAAAAAAAACAAAAAAAAAACAAAAAAACCCCAAAGAAGTAAAGCGTAAACATTTTCAGATCTTGCATTCTGCCTGATAATGCCATGTTGCCTTTCCAGGCAGAGTCTTACAGTAGTCTTAATAATCATCCTCTTCATCAGAATCCAATACTTTCCTTCTGTTGAACTAAAATGAAATACACAATTTGAAAATAGAAGGGTCACAGTAAATCTGACATAGAGCCAGCCTTTCCAACTCCACACATTTGACAGTGAACACGTTACATGGGAGCAGAACATTCACCCATCACCTGCCCCCTGCCCGGCCCACTGGGACAGGACAGACACAGAATGCTGATATCCCAGTGCCACTATCTGCAAACATTACCAGTGGTAAGGACTGCTCTGCTTTAGTCTCAGCGCTTGCCACTGGAGCCAAGAGAGGTGGTAAATACAAAGTTAAATTCTACCCTGAACTGAAGTGGTCCAATACGTGCAATTTTTCTGCTCTTTAATAACAAATTGAAATTACATTTAGGAAATAAAGCTTACCTTTACTGTTGTTTTCTTTTCTGTTTGCTGACTCACTTTTTCAAGTATTTCTATCAAACCTTGTTCTGATACCTAGGAAAGCAAAAGAGGAGCCGTATCAACAAATTCTGAGATGCTTAGTATCAAACAACTGAATCCCACTTTCCCTTCTTATAAAAGTTGTTTGATGTAGTTACATAAAAGTATGTGGAAGCTCTCAGTTGCCCTTTTCAGTTACTTAGTTAACTGATATTAAAACCATATTTTTTTTAGAGTGAATTAAGTTTGAAAGTTAATTAGGCAAGAAAGAATTTGAAAAACAACTCACCTTTCCAGCTAGCTGTCCAAATCTTGCCATCTGTATAAGATAATTCTCTACTGCTTTTGCTTTGTCTGGTTTCACAAGTGCTAAATTGCTTACTGCAAAAAAAAACCAGGCTCTGTTCATTTTGTTTTAAAACATACTCAAATACCTTCACTAGAAACTAAAAAGTGACGAATATCTCTGTGTCCCTACAAAGATTTCTTAGTTTAAATATTTGTTCCTAAATAATTAACTGATTTTGACTCCCACTACAATTCCTACTATTATTTTTTTTTCTAATATAATTCAGATAACCCCTCCCCTCCAATCACTGATATCACCAACTGAAAAGCTGTAGTAGTTTTATCTTTTCATCAACAACAGTATTTTTCTAGTCTGGCCTCTATACAAGCACATAGGTACTTGATTTGAGCAGCACTGGAGTACACCAAATAAGAATTTTTTTATTAGAAAGTTACTTGGGTACTTACGTCTTGCACGAGCTGCTTGATCAAGAACTTGAGCTAAAATAGTATTTCTTATCTCTGCTTCCCTGTAATGAAAAATTAACTACACATTAAAAGTGAGATTCCAGATACCTAAAATAATATGCACAAACCAGTGAACTACTGAAGACTTTCGATTCATGTAAGTGACTTCTTTAAATCCCTTCAAACCTTACATTTTCATGATTTCTTAGCTCTGTGTACACCGACAAAGTTACATAGTTGAAAACATCTTCCAAGAAATCAGGATGGAGTTTACTACTTACATCTTACTGTTTATTATTACATCTTGAAGACAAAAGCCATGCCACCCACTGTAAGCATTCTGCAGTCAGTTCCATGTGGAATTCCACTGAAGGCTGTGTATGGTAGAGCAGGCATAAGGACTAGTCCATGCAATTGCAAGATAGAACCAAATATAATTATTTATTTAGAATTTTTCAGTAAGTCTTCATGTATTTACAGTATTTCCAAAACTGGAATTTTAGTTTATGCATTTCAGTTAATACAAACTGTGACTGTGTGCAAAGTCCAGCTCTTCAAGCACTTTTCAGTTTTCCACTTAGTGCAAATACTAAATGTTTCTGCACTAAGATCTGATGCAAATAATTTTGTTTTGTATTTTTAACGGCAACAGATATCACAGAAAAATCAAATCACCTAGGAAACCATGTTCCCATAGCATTAAGAGAGCCAAACCCAAACTCATCACTCAGACAGAACTCCGGTTTGGGAAGAGTTCTGCCAGCTTTCAAGATTTTCTTATGACCTACTCTTACCAATCCTGAAAAGCCAAGGTTTCTGAGTTCCAGAAGCAGATGACAGTGGGAGTCATGATGCTTGCCCAAAACATTCTACTGTATCACTAAGGGTCATAAAATTATTGCACTCAGCTGAATCCCAAAGCGAAAATGAGCTGCTACTGCTGTTTCCCTCCACACCCTCCCACCCCAGCCAGGGTTCAGACTGCCTGACAGCTCTGTTGTAGATCTTCCAATACAGCCAGGGCCTGGGAACCACACTTGGATCAATCACACTTTAGCCATCCTTGGATTAAATCTTCAACATTTCAGCTTCTTTGTTGGTGTTTTTTCCAACAACAAAAGAAATTCAGGTGAGTATTCCAAAGAAACTAAAGATTAAAAAAAAAAAAAGTAAGCTTCAAAATGATTAAGATGTAAGACCAAAAGTCAATAGTTCTCATTTATACCTCTGTTTTGCTTCCTGTTGAGATGGATCAGCAGAAGGATCCTAATGAATGAGATCAGAATAAATATGACAATCCAAAAACATTCCACACAGGACAGTAAATTTAAATATCCCAGCAGAGTCAACGTAAACTAAGCCTGCTTGCTAAACCCGCCTGACCACGGATGAGGTCCTGAAAATAAGAATCTGCTGCCCTAGCAAATAAATCTGCCATACTACGCTTTCCTCACAAAGCAGCAATGCAAAGTAGGGTGATGATGAGTGCTACTGGATCCATCCACAGATTTGTTGTACGTTTGGACATTAGAAGACCTTCCCGTCAAGTCTAAAATAATAAACTTTCCCTAATACCCCAAAACAGACAAAAGCATTTTAAACCCATTAAAGTAAGCTAAGGACAAATGAAATTCAATGTAACACTTTGTACTTATCAACATAGAAGAAAACACAATCCCAGCATAGTATGTTTGGACTAATATGGGCAACAGAGATGACTGTTCAGAAGCAAATAACAAACAAAAAAAAAAAAAAAAAAAAAAAGAAGAAAAAAACTCCGAACGTTGAATCTGCACCTCAAATTTTAGAGGTAACGTTTCGAAGTGTAAAAGCAGAACAGAAAACCATGTAGAGAGAGGAAACGAGGCCGGTCATAGGTACGGAAGGTCCCTTCACAGGAACAACGAAAGACTGATACACTTCAGCCCCAAACCCAGAAATGACCGAAAAGGCTGATAACGTTGTGAGTGGCACATGAAAAGGCAGGGAGGGGACAGGGTCACGCGCGGAGCCTCGCAGGGCAGCAGCCAGGGCGCGGGGGGCAGGCAGGCCCGCAGCGCCACGGGGGCGGCGGCTGCTCGGGCAGGCGGGAGCGGAGCGCCCGGCGGGCCCTGCCCGCGCCAGCCGCCGAGGCTGCAGCCGCCGACGTTTCCATCCCGAGCACCGGGCCCCCCCGCGCCTTACCCCGTGCTTGGCCTGCAGCTCGGCCAGCCGCTGCTGCCGCAGCGCCTCCAGCTCCTCCTCCGCCATGCCTGCGGGCCGCCCGCGCAGCCGCACCGCCCGCGCCGCGCTGCGCCTGCGCCGCCGCGCCAGGCGCTACCAATCCACAGTCGAGCGCGCCGCCTGGCTTGGGCGGGGACCGGGCCCCGCCTCGAGGCGCCGCCACCTCCCCCTCCCAGCCCCGGGGCGCGGCCCCCCGGCCCCCCGCTCCCGCCGCCGGTCTGTGATGTCGCGCAAACTTCCCTGCCGGTGGGCTGGCTTGGCTCCCGCCTCGGCTCCCGCCTGGGCGCTGCCGGGCTCTGGCGCAGCGACCGCAGCTGTCGGGGGGGCGAGGCCGTGAAGGGAAAGCGCGGGAACTGCCGCTCCCGTCCCGGAGTGCTGCTGCCCTCAGGAGCCCGAGGCGGGATCCGCGAGGCCGGCCGGCTCTGCTGCGGCTGGGCCGGTAGGAATAGCACTGGTTTGGTAGGTCCATTCGTCTGCATCGTTGTGGTCTGCTACTGTTACAGACCGTGGATTGACTGCACTTCAGCTGTGTCCCCTATAGGTTCTCCGATTTCCTTAAATAATAAAAAAATAAATAAATAAAAAAAAAAAAAAAAACAAAAAAAAAAAAAAAACAACCAAAAAAAATAGGGGTGGGGGGCAGAATTTGGTTAACCTTCCCACATGTGCAACAATGACTGATATTTCCACAAACTCTGTTCAGGTTTCCCCCAAGCTAGCTTGCTGTGCTGTGATCACTGCTTCCAAGTTCAAACCGCAGCTGGCAATTGGGACTGACAAAAAACATTACATGATGCAGCTTCTTGCCCCTCAGCTACGAGGTCCGGTCCTGTGTCTGGAACCTCGAGTGTGGAAAGCTGACAAGGTACTGGCCTCAGTCAGACTTGGTATAAAGTTGCTCTAATGGCAATTCAAAGCAACTGTTGTTGACGCACTTGATACCTTCAATCGTGTTAGGTGAGTAACTTTGACATCTCAGATTTTGTTTTTTAATGTTGGTCAGTTCTTATTAAAGGCTGTATGTTTTTAACTCTCTGAGATTTAACAAAAGAAACAGCTTGAACACTAACAGCTGTTCTATCAGGATAAATACACCACAACTCTCTAAAAATAGAATTTTGTATAAAGATATATTACCAGCTCTTTCTGGTGTAGTTTTAAAAAGTAACAAAAAGTAACAAGTGCTTGTTTCATTAAGAGCTCCGGCAGTGAATGCAGACACAATTAGTGGTGTGGAATTAACTTTCTTTGGAGCTTTCCATGCCGCATGCTCGAAATGGATAACGTGAGCCTATCAGTCCTACCTGAGAACCTTGCTTCCATCCAGATAGCCCCAGGAGCATGTCTGTACCTTGAGAAACTTAAAATCGGGTCTATTTCAGGAGCACGTTTTTAGTGGATTTCAAGGAAGGTTTTGGTTTTTGCTTCTATGTTAGCAGCAGAGGGAGCCCTAGTTCCACAAAAGAGTGCTGCTCATCATGCAATAAACCAGAAAACACAAAAATGGTTGGGTTTTTTTTTTGCTGTGCAGTATGTTTTCACAGATGAAGCTTTAATCTATATCGTACATCTCTGTTGCTGTAAATTCATGCACCATTATACCACCATATGCTTTGCATCAGTCAGAAAGCTGCAGTCATCTTAATACTTCATCTAGCTTTATAGATATTTGTGTTGTGTGTTTGATTGCATATTCTTTGCTCACACACTTAAAGGTTATGTCTTAATAAGTTGTTTTAAATGAGTTTATTAGCAATGAGCTGGCTGTTGATGAGTTTTTATGTTTTGAGGAGGTATCATTGTAGTTACTGTCAATTACAATAGGAGATTCAGGAAGCAAAAAAAAGGAGAGTGGTTCATTAAAAAAATCTGGAGGAATGTGCTTCAGGTTGTATTTGATTTTTGTCTATTCAGCTGCCTAGTTTCTTCTTCATCTGCTTAGAAGTATATATCATTACCTCTGAAAACTGGACAGCTTTAAATCTGAAAACATGAAAGAATAGATGAAGATTTTTTCAGTACGGTTTGAGTTGCTGTATGGTGTTCAGGACTTTAAATTGTGATGCAGAAATGATGGATTCCTGAAAGTTTTATACACATTTTATAAGTCCACTGACTACTGTGTGTCATTTATGTTGACGAAGAATGGTAAACAGGAAAGAAATGCTTTAAAAAGACTTTTTCCTATTTTTTTAAATTATTCTCTGATGTGTTCATCTCTTAGAGTGCAATTGAGTATATATTGTATATCATATGTAATATAAGTATTATATAATTAACTACGTTACATAACAAACATATCGTGTGTAGAATAGAAAACATTATATATATACACCATATAATATATATAACTAATCTCTCTATACAATATAAATATACCTTTTAATATAAATGTATAGTGTATAATTAAAAAAAAAAAAAAAAAAAGAACCTTATTTTCTATATCCTGTTTTGAGGTACTTCCACAGACATGATTTTCCATTGCAAACTGGGCTATTGAATGCCCCGAAGTTGAATGATGTTTGAAAACTTTTGCTTTGTTGTTTGGCAAATGAGGGCTTAAAAGGCAAAAAATAGGATTCTGTTGTGGTAGTTAAGTTTCATATAGCATTGTGTAAATATGATTTTCTCTTACCTGAGGTATCAGGTCAAATTTCACAGCTATGAATATCAGCAAATTCAATAGGAGTTAAAATTCATGTTTTTGAAAGGAATGTTTGATTTAAACACAACCATGTAGTAAGGATTCTAGTATGTGTATAGCATCTTTTAAGATATGCAACCATCTCCAGGTGTTTACTGATGTGACACACTTTGTTCTAGAAATACTGTATCTTTTTGTATTCTGATATACTATTAATTTTTCCCATTATCAGTCACATCAAACCTTGCTAAATAACATGAGATTGGTTGTTATCTCTTAAGCTTAGACTGGTGTAGCTCACCTAAATAATATTCAGTGTTTATCAGCCAGGTTTTTCCTGTTTTGTGTTGTTATTAGCAAGTCAAGTAATTTTTGCTGAATGCTCACGACATTTGGTACTAACAGATATATATGCTGTTCCTGTAAAGGTGAAAATTCAGGTTTGGATCATGCATGTAATATGCAAGCTGATGTTTTAAGAATGAGGACAGTTCCCTGAAGGAACATTTTTTGTTACTCTGTTTGTTACTGTGATTCATTCTTTTTTCACTATACCTACATAATTTAGTGCAATTAATCTAAAAATTATTTCCTAAAGTTGTCTAACAGAATTAATTTTTTTAAATGGATGAAAAATAGTTTGCTCTGGCACTAAAATAATATTTTTTATATGACTGGAGAAAAGTAATATTTTAAAAGGAAATACGCTGTATTCTTTAAGAATGCGTTTGTCAGCTGTGAAAGGTATTCAATATCAGTGGAGTTGCAAATAATAATGCACTATATGTACATTAGTAATTCAGTAGAGTGACAGGAAAAGTTATCAGTACTTTTTGAGCTATGTACAGAATCTCAGGGATATTAATTTTTATAATCAGGATCCTTCCCAAGCCCTTTGAGACTTCATTTCAAACACTAGAGGGCTGAATAAATGTTTCTGGTTTTTTTTTTTTTCCACAAGGTTTTAATCACTGTAAATAGTGTGTCTCTTTCAGTAATGCTTACATTAACCTCATAATCAACCTTAAAGTGACACCATATTATTGTAATAACAGAAGAATGGCAATGCCTGAATAAGCTAGTGAATAAAGTATCTCCTTCCTCAAGCAACTGTAAATAAAATAAAGTAAAATACCTACAGCTATAACAACACTATGCAAACTCTATGTTTAATACTTCTGATTGGAAGATATACTGTAATTTCTTGCTTGATGAAATCCTTGCTTAGTCATCTCTGGCCTACATTAAAAATTTAGTAAATATTAACCACACAATCATTGCTATTGTAATCTAAAAGAAAATTAACAAACATTGCAGTGCCTTCAAAATAAGCATTGCAAGATTTTTCCACCTTACAGATACAGAAGACACTTCTAAAAAAGTAATATTAAAAAAACCCTAAAACAACAACAAAACATACTGAATTCAGTATTTGATGGGAGAGAAATGGAGAAAAGCTTAGATCAACAGTGAAAACAAAGTATGTAATCTTAAATTATTAACAGTGATTTTTAACCATCTAATCAGTTATTATATGATCACATTGTGCCTATTCCAAAGATTACTGAAGCCATAGAATATTTCCCCTTTAATTTTCCATTATTCTGTAGACAAACGCGCTGGGGCTAATAAGGATTATTTTCAATGCAACAATCTGAATATGTGCCTCAGTAGTGGGCTCTAAATAAATTAATATAGTCCTGAGAAATACTGTGCCCAGACTGGGTCATGGGTTTTCAAGGATTTGTATGCAATAGTGTAAAAGTACAGTAGAATAGATTTGGAAATGGAATGATGTCACCATGTGAGCCAGATGTGAGGAGATCTCAAATTGTAAAAGGAATGAAAAAAGGAAAAATATTACTAATTACATTTTTATAGATAGACTTTTTTATTACATTTTATTTCAAAGAATAAACAGCAAGTATTTTTCAGGAATATAATCCATATAGTGCCATCAGATCTGTGGAGCACAGTCAAATGTTTTCTTATGCTATATATGTTCTAAATCTGATACTGAAGCTGTGAAGTGGATAGTATCTTACAGATTTCAGTAGGAACGAAATCAGGGCTTAAGTCCAACACCTGCAAAGTACTTGAGTTCACATGTAACTTTAAGCCCATGGGAAAATCCAGTGAAATGAATATATATATATATATATGTATATATTTCCTACTTTAGGGTTGTCATTACTCATGGATTTGCTCTGCTACAGAAGTGCCAATAGTTATTTTAATGTAATGTACTTAATGGCTGAAGCCATTAATGTGTTTTTTACTGTTTTTTATGCTTTGATGCCTTAATTTTTTTAAACATCTGCAATAAACGTTTTTTCTTTTGCTTTTTCAAGACTTATAGCATGAATGCCTTTGTTTTTTTGGCTAAAATCTTATACCTGAGATTGATCATTCTTTCTCTGGATAATGTATTTGTGCCCATATGA